ACTACATAATAGTGCAAAGAGAAAAAAAAGTACATCAAGAAATAAGAGACAAACCACATGAAGAAGAGAGAGGAAAAGAAAGAAAGAAAAAACCAAGACACAGTTCGAGAGTATACTACAAGAGCAAGCCATCCAGCACCACCTAAGAAATTTTAACTCCTTCCACTCGCCCGCCCGTCCATGCTGCTTTGCTATATTTATTCCGACTTGCTCTTCTTCTTCTTCCCATCTTTGTCCTTCTTACTCTTCTTCTTGTCGACTTCGCCGTCGGTCTCAGCCTCTTTCCGTCTCTTCTTACTAGACTTGTCTTCTTTCTTATCTTTCTTTTCCTTCTTTGCTTCCTTCTTTGCCTTCTTCTCGGCCTTTTTCCTTGCCTCCTCGTCCGTCTCCTCGTCCTCCGATGACTCGGCAGCAGGGGTGGGTGCCGAAGGAAGAACGGCAACGATCGTCTCCTCCCTCTTCTTTCCCTTCTTATCCTTCTTGCTCTTCTTCTTTGTTTCGGCCTCGGAGTCCTCGGAGTCCTCGGAGTCAGTGTCCATCTCAACATCGTCTTTGATGGCCTTGACAGCAGCCTCCGCGACAGCCTGTGCGGCAGATGGTGCATCCTCCATAACGGCATCAGCGTCAGGGTTGTACTTCTTAGCCTCCTTGATCTCCCACTTGCCGGGTTGCCTAGCGCCACCAACAGGAGTAGCATTGGCATTCGCACCTCGAGGAACAAGTGGCTTGCCCTCAAGCTTGCGGACACGGTTCTCAACCTGGGCGCGCATGGCAAGACCGAGAGCAGCGGACTCATCCTTGTCCTCAGTGAGAGCGTCAACTCTCAGACCAAGAGTGGTCTTAGTTGCGAGCATACGGGCGATCTTGCCCTTGTTCTTTCCAGTTGATTGACCAATGAGGGAAGCGTGGTAGATCAAACCATACTTAGGGGTATCATGCTTAGTCTTCAACGCTCTGAAGAGCGCCTTCTCGGCACCAAGAATCTGGACAGTTGAGGCAGGTGATTTTGCAAGGTTCATCAGAGAACCAGCGTGGGCGATGAGACGAGCCCCGACAAGTTCTCCGACAAGAACAGTCAAATTGGGCGCAATAGCTGACATACGGGCTGACAAGTAGGATGACAATTGCTGTCTGTACTCGGTGAATGAGATAACCTGCTCAGCAAGAAGGGTGATGTTGTTCAAGTCCTCATTGGTGATCTCTGTGCCCATAGAAACCTCGGCGGCAGCCTTGAGGGCGGTCTCAATCTCCTCAGGGAGGATCTCCGAGAGATCAGTTGTGGAAGCCGAGGATCGCATGCCCATAGTCTTGATTACTTTGGCGTATGCCAAGTTGTCGTTGATGATTTTGCCCATTTCGGGGAAATGCCATCCGTACCATTCCTTGACACGCATAGCGTAGATGTTGAGCTCTTTATCGAGATCATCGAGAAGGGCGATCGCCTGAACGATCATGGTGTCGACCTTATCAGGGCTGAACTTGAGCTTGTGGCGTGACAGGGAGTGGGAGAGACCCAGTGACATGGTGGAGACGTCTGAGGGTGTGAGACCGGGAATGAGCGCGGTGAGGTGCTCGCGGATCGCTCGGTACAGGTCATGGGTGCTGGAATCAGATATTATGGTGAATGAGAGACCAGGGAGCTTGTTGATGGCAATTCCTGCAACATGTTAGGATACTGGCAAAACCACAGATCGAAACAAAACCAAAGGTGGGGTGGATGGTAAAACATACCCAATTTAGGGTCAGCGACAACGAGTGAAGCCTTCTTCTCATCCTTGACCGATTCCAAAAGATTTGAGAGCATAGGCGAAACCTTGTTCTCTACAATTGCAGTTACTTCTTCTAGCGCAGTAGCAGCACTGTCGAACTTTGCGAATTGCTTCAACTTCAATCTTTATATGAATTGAGATGTCAGCTATTGTTTTCGCCTTAATTGATCCTCCTATGCATTGGGAGTATACACTCCCATATCATAAAGCCAAACGGTAAGAGAGAAACATACAGTCCAGCAGCGCCCTCAGGTGTGCTCATCTCGCCAGCAAGGTCATTCTTCTTTAACAATTTCTTGTCCTTGGCCTTGAAAAGAGCATAACCAGCACTGGTTTCGGTAAGAATTAAAAACGTCATTGTCTCTTCTATCCTCGTGGGGGGGGGGGGGTGTGATTGATTAACACGGGGTTTGAGCGTTGTGATTGAAGTTGGTTGGAAGAGGTTGAGGAAGGGACTTTGCAGGTGTGGACGGGCACACTTTTTTTTTGCAGAAGAACTTTTTTCCTGGGTTGTTGTTGAGCCCCTAACAATAGCTTTGTTTGTGGGGCTGTTGTGCATCGATCTTGGCAGGGCACGGCAGTCTGTCTTTTCCTAATCCTGGACTCGTCCCGTCCCCCGGACCTGGAGACAGAGAACTGAACGCCGTGGGGAAATATTCATACTCACCGAGCAAACATGCAGATCTGCCAGCTCTCGTCGGGACCTAGAATCCCAATTCCACGGAAACAAAACAAAACATTATAGTTCATTTCCCCAGGCCCCATATGTCCGGAACCATCAGCCGTGAGAGGCACCAGGACGGAGCCGATTACCGTGGTTGACTTGATTTACAATTCACCAAACGCACCGGGATGACAATACTAAGGAGGAAACTAAGGGTTCGATGTCTCATCCCTGGTAACTACATGTACCCTAACAACACGAAAAACGAAAACACCTGCCCATAGATTCCCATACGTTGGGTTCGTCCCGGCTCTTAACTTTTATAAAATGATACTCTGGGGTATACATTTTCTCCTAGGCTGATTTATGTCCATTGTGAAAGAACCTACATCCTTTATACATGTACATGTAGTGACCATATATCAAGGTCTGAAGAAAGGAGTTTTATCCTAGGAACGCATGCGCGTAGTGCACATCAAACATTTACGCATCCCACTGAAGTTTACTCAAGACGTCAAATGCCTATGCCAGATACGTGCGTGTATTAATTCGAGTGATGTAACATGACCGAGTCTGCTTGCCAGAACTGGTTGGTCGGAGGTCCTGGATCAGAGGTTTGAAAAAAACCATTCGGAGACTCTCCCAAGATAGGGTAAAGGTTCGGCAAGACCGCTTCAGAAGATAAATTAGCACAGACATCAGATGAACCATGGATGGGCTTAATATGGAGGTACCGTGAATTCTCTATTGTGGAAATGCCCACGACTTGACAACAACGACGATGTGGATGGCGTACAAACCTGAATCACCAACCGAGGTGTTTGGATCTGTGCGGTTATACCGTAAGACCGGAGCTGTCATCCGTCCAGTTGACATGTTTGGTTTGAAATTACCAGCATGGGGTACTCCATGTGTGACGTTGAGACTTTTCTCCTATCGTCTTTGCATTTGCATTTGCTTTATTTTCTTTCCATAGGCTGGGAAGCCTGAGCTGGGTGTGCTCTGACCTCATCGGTAAAGATGCCGCGAGATAAACGAATGTTCCATCTGCTGCCCAATGTCCGGTATTAAGACATCTGGAAGAAAGTAGGTAGGCATGAGACCGCTCTTGGGCCTCTGTTAGGCCTCATTGGGGCTCACCACCTCAACCACGATCCTACCACCATCTCTGTGATATTCCATCTCTACTGGTAGAGGGTTCACTCGGATTCATTGATGACCTTCTGAAGCATCCGCTTTTGCCGAGTCAGAGACGTAGACAGTACACCCCTAGTCTCGTGGGGTTCTAAGGCATTGTAACCGGTGATGTGGTTCATCTATATTGCCTGAGATGTTACATGACACCTAAATGCGAGTCCTATCCATCCGTTCCGGCAGTTTTTCTTTCACGGGGCTCCCGAAACCCTAAACCGCCTTATGGGAATGTAGTGGTATCTCCAGATCTATGTTCGCTCAGACTCGTTAATGGCCTTCTATATCGAGCCCAGAGTACCCTTTTCCACGGGAATTGATATCTAGTATTAACAATATATAATAAGTATTATCAAATAGAGGGACTCGATAATTTGAAGCCCTGATCTCGATAGATCAACCTAAAGTTAATATGGCGCCAACGATCGATCCCATAGAATGGGGGTCCGAGAAGTAAATCTTGTTCCAGGGACACGAGTGTAGCGTGCTGTTGCGGCATGGAAACACTAGGCCACATACCTAGTTACTAACAATCTAAGTAGCAGGGCCTCCATTACTCAGAATCAGTCACCCGGACCAATTAACGACCTAGGCTAATAAATCAAACCATTCCTCCTATGTGCCAGTTTCTCGGCACATGAAGCGTCCGTTGAATGATTGGCCGAGAAACAGATTCATTTGTCTTAGTTGCTCAAGAGCTCAGCTGTAGAAAATTAGCTTGGACCACAAAGATAGGCTAACCCAGATCTTGATGTTGTGCCGGTGGGTTATCTTGAGAATAATCGTTAGAGGGTATTGCGTATTTGATGCGCTGGGTGTGAGCTAGGTGGATGTCTGGGCTATGTATACTCGAAGAAGGGGGATTTCCCGAGTGATATAGTGTGACCCAATATTGCAATAATATCAATTTAATCACAGGTCGTATTCACAGTCACCGAACGTATTTTAGCATGTGAAGCTGTGCTCTACGTAGCTGGGATGGTGGGCAGGCCATGGCGCGTAAAGATTGTACTCTGGGATCTAAACTTTCCTCGTAAAGAGGCTGTGGCGCAACAGAATCATCAAATTTAGCTATCTATAGGCAAACCCGTGTTACGAAGTCAATGGAAAACCCGCAAAAATGCATTTTATACAGACAGTAAAAAACCAAAGCTAGCAAAGATTTGACGAAACGAACTCCCCCCATTTTTTGGTATTTAGGTTGATGACGGGAGATTGATTTGGGCGACCCAACCAGGTGGAAAATGAGAACCCAATTATCTATTTTCCATAGTTGAACAGTAGAAGAACCCCAATCACGCAACCTTCCCACCACACCCGAGAACCAAACCCAGCTTTTGAATTGTAGTTTATTTTTAATTTGCGTCCCAGACCGTTTATTTCTTGTCCTTGCTGACCTTCTTTCCGTGGGTTCCCCGTACCTCCTTGGCCTTGTTCTTGCGCTGCTTGCCTGTGTTTTGAAGACGCCATAGGTCAGCCTCCCACCACACATACATGGAAATAAAAGTAACATACGTTGTTGACGAGACGCCTTCTCGATCTTGGTGGCGTCACCGTAACGGACAAGGCGGTAGTGGGGCTCGAATTTCTTCAGAGCGTCGTGGGAGTCGTAGATCAAAGCGAAGCCGGTGGACTTTCCGCCACCGAACTGGGTGCGGAATCCGAAGACAGAGACCTGGCTCTTGTCGGCCTTGTAGAGCTCAGCAAGCTTAGAGCGAAGCTCATCCTTGGAGACGTTGGGTCGGTTGGGGTGGAGAACATCACTGTTGAGTTAAGTGGCCAAGTCAGTTTCAATCAATATTTCGCGATGTCTAAAAAATCCTTCAATATCCCGGTCCAAGCCAGTTTCCAGCTTTTATATCCACCCAATGACCATTCAAATCTCTCATTTCTCTTCTTCCAGCTCTTTACCGATAACACTTCCCCGGCACACAAATAAAGGTAGCAAATGGGATAACATACACCACCATCTGTTTCCTTCCCAAAAGGGCATTCCTCAGGAACTTGCGGGTCCTCAGAGTGACAGGGTCGGCCATATTGAATTTTTCAAAAATTTACTGAACTTCGTTGAAACCGGCTTGGTTGTCGGGAAGGGCGTCGAGGGATATTGTCGTGGTCGTCGTCGGGTGCAGAAATTTGGTGGTATTCACAAACCAATTCGCCTAGCTGGACAAGTTGCCTGTGTGCCCGGGGTGCATAATTTGTGTGAGCTAGTGACTGCTGTTGTTTATTTGAGGTTACCCGGCATGGTAGGTTTCTACCCTAAGAAAACCTGACCCTGATCCGTTCCTACTGCCCGAAATACTCGTAAATTCATGATGTTTCCGAACACGACTGCTATTACATACCATACAAAAAAGCGTCAAATCCATCCTTTTTGTATGCCATGCAATATTGGTTGTGCTCGGAAACGCTATGAAATTACACTTAGGACAGCCCGAAAAACGTTTTAGAATCGAATATAGTACGGCGAGGCCCTACGTGTAGTATGACTCGTTTTAGATGATCATGATGATATGGTCTTAAACTTTGCGAAGTCCTCCGCCTTTTCAGGATCTGTATTATTATCGTGTGAATATATTTCATATGGGATTTTTGCTTTTACTGAACATAACAGGCAGTTCTGGGTATAATAATCTCTTTTGGGAATTTGAGTCCGAAGGCTTTTGGTTCCACCTTCATCCACCGCTTGGGGATTTCTGTTGGTTCGATGATCGACGTGGGGCGACAGTTTTCACTCCGTCCATTTGAATCAAATTTGTGTAGAGGCGTTCGACAGTGGAGTTACTGAATCACCATTCAGCTCTCTTTACTCTGTCAACCCATGTGATAGGAAGCTAAGGTAAAGGTGTACTCAAAAAAAAAAAAGATGAGAGGTGAAGTTGCTCGATCCAATCATTCCTTTATGCGCAGCAGCATTAGGATTTTCTCTTTAGGACTGGGTTCTCAGATACGAGATGTGATGATACATAATATTTGCCGTTTTGACCGTTCATGGAAAAGGAGACAGAAAAAACAAAAGTAGGTACGTCCGTCCCATCGGTAATTGTCTTTGTCCACATCTCGATCTCGATCCTAGCATAGGTGGTTTTCAGGGTTGTTGATAGTAGAAACAAGGGCCTACCCGCTCGCTCGGCAATCCCTCTTAGATACCTGTGCTCGTAGAGTAAATCCGCGCTGGCTTGGGTACCTACCAACTCATCCCGGGGTTACTGAGCGAAGAGGGATTCAGATGTGTATCGAATCCAACAGATGAGCCATTAAAAAAAAAATAGATACATAGAACTCCCCCCGGCTGCTGCGGCGCACAATTATCTGGATCCGTCAAGGGCGCTGAGGCCTCTCATCTGAAAAATTGTCATTCATAGGGCAAAATAATCCCTGTCAGCACCTCATATACATACACGACGAATCCAGCGACAATACTGTGCAGCATCTGCCATCTGTCCCCTCCACCCCGGGTTCTAAATAATAACCCATCTTCCCCCACAGACAAGCTCATCGCCTGGTTATTACAGTAGTTAAGCCAACACCACCATACAATGGCTGAGCCTCCACCATCACCTGCCCCAACACTCTTTCGCGACTCTTTCCAATCTCCAGCTGATCTTCCAAGCGGCTGTAAGTATCCCTCTAGTCTACTTGAGCCCCATCTCCAACTTGCATCTTCTAAGACCGAGTCTTTCGCAGACAATTCTTCCAACGACGACCACTTCTCAGACGCGCAAGAGGGCCGCGAGTCAGAAATGAGCGACTCAGACACCACACCATCCCCCACGATACCCATACCGCCCACAGATATGCCCAAGTTAGATGAGACTTTTGGGACAGAGCCTTTCGAAGATCTCTCGGACGACGACACAAGAGTGCCTGACGGTGCCGAGACCCCCAAGAAGCGTAGATCAATGAACATTACCATACCCGGAGCATTCGGTGGAAGTGACTGCGATGCCGATGACGACAATAACGTGGAATCAACTCCCGAAACGCCAAGATCAGGTGTTCCAGTCACTGTTTTAGAAAGAACCGACAACACTTCCAGTGACGGGAAAGTAACAGTGACAGAAACGCTGAAGGAGAGATTAGCCGGTCTACATCCCGATGTAGACCGGTCTCCTAGTCCGATACCTACGATGGTCGTACAAAGAATCGAGGAGGATAAGCCATATCATGGAGAGGTCCCTGGTACAGAAGCATACGAGAAACGGGCAGCGGATGCCCAACCGGATATTATCGTACGATGGAATGAAGAGGAAGATCGGATCACAAGAAGAGTACAGACCCAGCGTGAGAAAATCGAGAAGATGGTCCAGGATGGCGGGACGCCAGTTGTGGCCCCTTTACATGGAAGGGCAAGAAGTGTGAGCCCAAGTGTGAATAAAGGTGAAGAGGCATTGTCGAACCCAATGTACACACGAGCACGAAGTGCAAGCCCGAGTTTCGGGAAAATGGATTCCATTGGGAAAAGAGAAGGGGCCATGGCTGGCGACGAAAGCACTGTTGTTATGAGTGGTGGCTTTTTGGAGATGCCAGTATCCAAAGCCTCACTTACAGTCGACCTCGATGCAGCTGAGAACGACATTCCTAATACATCTGCACTATCCCCTACATTTTCTACGGGCTTTGAGGAACATACTGCCCCTCGGCGGCGAAAATCGTCCGCGGCATCACGTAAGAGTCGAAAGTCTGTCCCGCCATCGCCAGTGACTCCTTCAGCAGACTTTGGGGATTTCCGAGAGAATGAAGAAGCAGATGATGATTTTGGGGATGACGATTTCGACGATTTCGGCGAAGTGGTAGAGGGGGAGGAATTTGACGATTTTGAGGGGTTTGGCGGAACTACCACCGATTTTGAACCGGTACCCATAGAAACTCCACAGCCCACCCAACAACCCCCTGCACCGTTAAAGCCGGTGATTTCTGTTCCAGTACTCGACCACAAAGAGCTCGGTGGAGCGGAAGCAATTATCAAAGCTGTTTCCGAATCATTGGAGATCATGTTCCCGACAGGCAAGAAAACCAAGCTCGCGCCAGTAGAGGATAGCTGTTTCCTCACGGAAAGAAGGTAAGGCTTACTAATCTTACATGACTTTGTATGAGCATATATACTAATTTGTGTCACAGTTTATCACTTTGGAATCAACTTGTCGCTCCGCCACCTTTACAACCCCCTAACTGGAAAATCTCTCGTATCCGTCGTCTCTTCCTCGTTTCACTCGGTGTGCCTGTCGACCTTGATGAAATTCTCCCTGCAGAAACTAAACAGAAAAAGCTTGTCCTCCCATCCATCAATACTCTCCGTCGTTCCTCGGGTGACGATGGTCACAGGTCTCGTTCGAGCTCACAGTCAAGATCATCACGTCCTTCTTCACGTGCAAGGAAGGCTGCGGCGGATGATAAAAACAAGAATGGAGGGATTGGACCTGAATCTCTTGACGTTCCGAGTGCCAGGATATTATGTAGTACGAGCGACGTAGCATTGAGTGGATTGACAGTGGAAGAGCTTCAGGAGCATGTGAAGGAATTGGAGAAAGTAACACAGATTGCCGGCGAGGTGCTTACATATTGGCTCAGGAAGCGCGAGAGTGCAATTGGCGATAAGGAGACTTTTGAAACGGTCATCGAGAGTCTTGTGGGATATGCGAGAAAGAAGAGGCAGAATGGTTAAGTACCTTCTCCGAAAGCTATCATTATTATGCATCTAATCGTCTACGTAATTGGGGGGGGGGTTTGTTTGCTTGCTTTATTTTCTATCTTTTTGCGGGTGTGCTCTAGGGGAAGGAAGGGAAGTATACTGGGCTAGGAGTTTTTTTATTTTAAAAATGGGTTCATGGGCGCGGGACACTATATGATATGGAAGATTTCTAGATTCCTTCGTTTAGGTTGGGAAGGCTTTTTTTTTGTCTATTTTTTTGGGGGGTGGACTAGGGTAATGATGCTGCGTTGATGTCCCGGTATTATTAGTGGGCTTGGCATAGTGTGGGAGAGACTTGATTATGAGGTCATAGAATATATTTATATGTAGCTTAAGAAGTATTCTAATAGCTATCGGTTATGGAGAAGAACCCCCGCTTCGTCCTGCAGTAGCTTGTGATCTTTACCCGAGGTACTTAACCAAGTTTATACAAAAAATCTCGACCCAAGTTTCCTGGGATAACCTTAATCGATCATGCCGACACCAACCAGAGTTATCCCGCCTCTTCCAGAGATCTCAGAGGACCCGTTGGCATCACAGGCCATTTACAGATTGCTTCCGGATGTTCATAAAATAGAGACAAGCTCTGGAGCAACTGTAGTTGCGAGGACCAGGAGTTTAGACAATGCAGAACTACCGGTATTGGTGATGATTCACGGCTACCCGCAATCGTATGTTAATCGAAAGTCCTGTGAAAGTATAGAGCTTATGGAATGATTATGCTGATACGACGATGGCAGAATGAATATGTAAAGATCTTATCTAAGTGGTAGGAACTGGACCGCAAAGTCTCACTAGTATAGGTTTCGTTACATAGTAGAGCGTCTACCAGAACAGATTCCATTGTTCATACCAGATGTATGTGTATTGTGAGTATCCTTCTTTGTATTTTAATCTACTGATAATTTTATGAAGATTCCTGGATATGGAGAATCCACTCATTCTGCTACACCCTCAAACACAGCGGCTTACTCAAAGCGTGCAATCGGAAATATCATTCTCGAAGCTCTCAAGAAACTCCTCAATACCCCGGAGAGGAAGATTATACTACTTGGACATGACAGGGGTGCAAGGATTATTCATCGTCTAGCTGTTGACGCAGCAGAGGGGTTCCTCCAAGAGAAATATGGATTTGATCTAGTAGGAGTCGCTTTATTGGACATCATTCCGACGATTGTTCAATTTGCATCATTTACGGATCCTGCAGTTGCGGCGGCAACTTTTCACTGGTATTTATTGACTAGCTACTGGTACTTATTATTTACAATCAGAAAGCCTCTAACCCCCTTGGAAACACAGGTCCTTCCTAGCAGCCCCTTCACCGTTGCCAGAGAATATGATCGGGGCGCTCGGAGGTGATGTATTCGTTGATAATATGATAAGAAAATGGACAGGAGTCTCGGGAGAACCGCAGGTGTCACTTGGTATTCCTATATATGCTGCATATTTCAAACGGCCCTCCGTAATTGCGGCATCCTGCGCCGACTACCGTGCTGGTGCGCTTGTGGATGCCCCGGAGCAGGTTGCGGATCAGAAGGGGGGCCGGAAGATTAATTGCCCGACATATGTTTTATATAGCGAGGGTTACTTGGGGAGTCGGTATGAAGTAGAGAAAGTATGGAATGATTGGGTTCATGGAAGTAAGGGGTTGTTGAGTACGAAAGGGGTGGGGAATGGGGTGGGTCATTTTTTGTGCGAGGAGGCACCAGAAGAGGTGACAAATGGCTTATTGGGATGGATCAGGAAATATCTAGGGGTAAAGGTTTAAGCCGAGAGCCTCGGAGAGGCGTGGTTCATGAAATGTCACTCAGGTTCTATGTACAGAATAAGCGACGATTCAAAGGGCGTTTATTTCTTTTTACTCATAATGTACCTGTATGCTCTATATTAATACGCGATCGGTCAATAGGGGAGGGGTGGAACTACAAGAATATGTTTTCTCGAGTGTAAGTTTCATGATCTGTGTCGTGTTGGGCGTATTCAGGTTCGTCCTTGATTTCACGGACATTCAGTCTCTTCTTTATCGCTTTCATGAATGTCAAGTCCGCCTATTAAACAATTTATTAGTATTATAAAATATTAAAGATGTTGTTGAGATCGAGAGGTTACTTGCCCGTCTCCTCTTCTTGAAGCAAAAGAATACAATTGTATCATCTCCCACTAAGTCTACTCTAATCATTAATAAGCATTTGTATTTGACCTATTTGTGGTATAATATCTAACTTACAGAGTTTTTTCTAGCAGAGGAAACGCAGGTTCGTAATAAACCTAAAAAAAAAGGTTAACCACAGCTAGTAGCTAATATGCACAGTTTCATATCATACACAGTCTGCTGCTAGCACAATATCCACAGGCTTGTTTGCTATTGTCTCAGGTATGGGTTCGCTCCTGATAGAATTTTAAAATTTGCAACTTTGCATTAGGGGATCTAACTGGCTTACCAGTCTAGTAATTCTACTTTGACTCTGTTATCGAATCCGTTAAGTGCAACGTTCTTGTGAATTAAATCGATCATCGCATCCATATCCGTGATGAATAATTCGCTATCGTGAAGATCGCATGCAGCTGCAATACCAAGGCTAGTGAATTGGTCAGGTTTCGCCGGACTTTCTGGTAACGGATTCAGCAGAGACTGGTGCATACCCTGTCAATCCGCCCCCAGCACCCAGTTCTACAATCCTCTTGCCCCTCAGACCACCATTATCTTTATATCTTCTCAGAATATATTTCGTTAAGGTTTCTCCCGCTGGCCATATTTGTCCGCCGCATCCCTTCGCAAGATCCTCGTGCAGTTTGATAGGTGAGTCAAGAAGGCCACTAAATGTGGTTTCCGTGATACGAGCTTGTAGCATTGGAGCTGGGGCGACAAGATCTGCCCCAAAGGGCTCAACCTCACTGTCGCTATTTTCGCCGAAGAGATCCATGATAAAGCGGTTGGGCAGAGTGATGGCTGGTGAAGGAGGCGGGGTAAAGAGGACCCCGCTAGAGCCTCACCAGAGCCGCAAAGCTTGGCAGGTCAAATGCGGAGGAGCCTACATGTACTTAATTTTTAATATTGACGACTATCACCCCTCTTATAGTATAACGAGATGAATCAAGTAAAGGAATCTCACACGAAAGAAATGTCCTTTTGTGAGTGGTAAGCGCTAGCGAATAGAGGTACAGTCTGCGTGCTTAAACTTCAGGGGCCACTGTAGCTGCACTTCAATTAGATTAAAGCACCTGCATACATGTACTTCGAGTCTCGGGTTTGGGGATTGACGATTTGCGCTGGGAAGAAGTGAAGTCCACCAATGTCACCAATGATGACTAAGCATTGCATCGTGGAACCCTAATCTTCTCACTTTTGACTAACAACGTCAAGCTCGATCACCGACAGGAGGATTAAACGTACATGTAGTTCGAACCACAAATTAACAATGGCTGATATTATGGATCTTTCGAAGCTCGCATTTGTTAAGCTACCCTCGAAAAAATTAGGCTCGGGCTCGGACTTTCTTCTCAACAGCATCAAACAAGCCGAAAAACGGTCGTTCCCACCAAACGAAGCGTTTGACTTCAACGCAGAGCTCCCGAAAAGGACTACAAATCTATACTGCGCGTTTACTAAAACCGAGAACGAGCCCGAATTGTGCGGCTATATTGTGTACGTACGTTCTAAACTAGTCACAAGGATTCATAAGGTCTGCGTTGTGGAAAAGAAAAGAGGCCAGGGTATCGGGAGATGGATGATGGATCTTGTCCTGGTGGACTTAAAGAAGGGTGGGGCCGGAACTATTGACCTCTGGGTTGATAAAAATAGAGAAATCGCACGAAAGCTATATGAAGCGTGTGGATTTGAGAAGAGAGAGCTCATTGAAAATTACTATTCCGGTGGACGTGATGCACTTAGGATGGAGATAAACCTGTGTGATTGATAATGATAAAATCAAAGTAAGGTCACTTCGAATTTCTGTTTTTAGAAACGACCCTTCCCTCAACGTTTGTTAATTGTGTACTAGTACTGCGAAATAATATCTCATGGGTATAGGGTCTCATCTGTGCTTTTACACTTTACTTGATGAAAAATAGACTTTCCTTTGCTAACTATTCTTTATCTAGCATGGTTAAAGGTTGCTATTCACGATATACATCAGCTACTCTAGAAGTCTAGAAGTCATGATTTTTAATTTGAAGGGTAATCAATTACAAATCATCCCAATGTGATCAATTTTGGTATCGTCAATCATATATTTGCAGCTATTAAGTTGAAGTCCCCATCCGTCAACTACCCCTTGCATCCGTTTATCCACCCTCATACCATTCCAACATCAACATGCCAAATATGTTAATTCTTGAGAATAGTACTGGAAAAATCTTCTATGGTCCCCTTTCTGAATATTAGGTGTAACTTGAAAAGTTTGCGTTCCAGCAATGTGGATCTACAAACGTAAGGGAGATGCTGAGTGTCCCTTCGAAAAACTGTAGTAATTCACAGTCTTGGTATCAAGTATCATTGCTTGGGGATTTCTTCGTCCAAGAGTTTCTGAAATTCTTTCCTGGAACCTATAGTACACTGTCGTTCTTTCTTTTTGGTTTTTATCGCCTATTCTCACTCATTCATACCATACATTCTTTCCTTGTTGTTCATACCGCCCGCTGGTGCACAACCCAGCGAATTATTTCCCATATCGAAATAAGGATCTCTTGAGTTAATCTACGAGCTCGTGAGGTATTTTATTTATTCTTGACTGGTAGTACGTGAATTCAGCATATGCTAACGAAAGTTAGGATTCTCGTCAATCTCTATAATGGTGGCTTTTGTTATTATCATTCTTTCATACGCCTCTCTTATTGCAGGAGCACCATCAGTTTCCTTCCCAATAAATTCACAAGTACCACCAGTAGCTCGAGTATCGGAAGAATTTAAGTTCGTGTTCTCACCATGGACCTTTACCTCAAGTGTAGAGCCTATATCATACAATATCACCAACGGGCCTTCATGGCTGATGCTCGACAGCAATTCACGAAGTCTATATGGCGCGCCGAAACAAGATAATATTGGATCTTTTGAAGTGGTTATAACTGCGACAGACCAGACAGGGTCAACATCACATCCAGCAACACTCGTTGTGTCATCGGAACCGGGTCCAATGTTAGAAAAAGACATCGATTCTCAACTAAAGAATGCCGGCATGAGAGATGGAAAAGGCGGAATCGTTTTTTTCCCTGGACAACCGTATGAGTTCTCATTCTCAAAGGATACTTTTGGCCCTTCTGGATCTGTAAAACAATACGAGGCGGTTTCGACAGGAAATACACCTTTGCCGTCGTGGATTAATTTCGATCAAGGACGCCTAAAGTTTTCTGGGGTGACACCTGATTTAACGTCTTTGATTGCCCCGCCGCAGTCTTTCGATGTTACTCTAATAGCAACCGACTATCCAGGATTTGCCGGGCCATCCGTATCATTTCAGATGGTTGTTGGGCCCCATCGCATCTATTTCAAAGACACACTGTTTACTGCCAATGCAACTTCCGGAGGCCTGTTCAATTATAAAGTTCCACAAAATGCTATCTTACTAGACAGCGAGCCAATTGGGCTCGAGAACTTGAGTTCGTTATCTGTGACCGGGTCTGATTGGCTTTCGTTCGATGCGGATACCTTCTTGCTTAGTGGAACACCACCAAAGGGCACAGAATCCACAACAGTTAATCTCGTGGCTCACGACGTTTTCGGAGGCGAGGCACAAGCAAAGCTCCAGATCAGTGTTACCTCAAAGAACAAAACTGATGCTATATTTAAGGGAGGAATTCCTGATTTCAACATCACTGGCGGAGAGAATTTTGTGTACTCGATTGACCAAAAATCTCTCTCTGCCAAAAATGTCAAGCTCAGTGTGAAGTATAATCCGGACGTAGACTGGATTACTTTTGATGCTGAAAACTTGCGATTTCAGGGTACAGCACCGAAAGAATCTATCAGAGTTCAGGTCATCATGTCTGCTCAAGCGATTGGAAAACCTTCAGAGTCTCGCAGTTTTTCGTTAAATGTTGACGGAGATACCAGCGTGGAATCAGTTTCAGCTACTCCAACTAGTATGTCAACTGGGACCACTGCAAGCCAAACAGAAGCCAAAGCGACTTCGAGCTCAGTGACCCGTACAGGAGCACCTAAGGCTAAACCCCCTAAGGGAACGGCGGATACCAATTCTGAAGCTTCCACAAAACGTAGCCGCAAAAGAACCCTAATAATTGTCCTTGCAACCGTGCTACCTCTTATTGTAGTCTGTAGTTTCCTCTTTATATGGTACTTTGCCACCCGTCGGTCTACAGACTCGAATTCCTATTACAGCCGCTCTACAACCCCCATAGGTTCAGAAATCTCTCAGCCCTTTGTACAGCTCCCTCAACCATGGGCAGTCACCTCAAGCAACCAAAAAGAATTGGAGACGCCGAGGCGTTTATCGGGCTTTGGATACTTCACGACTGATGGAAGCGGGAGAATATCGAACGGGTTCATGAGTTCAATGATGAGTAATGATGGGACAATCCTGCACTTACCTTCGCCGCCTATACATACAGCTTTAATCCCTTCCACACCAGAGACAGCCGGTGATAGTGGTACAGTTGGAGCTATCAACTTTTCTCAACATCCCGTGAATCGCATCTCGTTCCCCACAGGGCCACTGTATTCCCTATATCCCGCAGTCGGCCGCTCAAGTTCTCGAGGAAAGGGCACACATCCCGCGATTGCACGATCTAATTCTCGAAGAGAAAACATTGCTCCGGGAAATCACCGAACGGGCTCCCGAGGATCGAGCTCACGCCCTTGGGGAGCCAATAGCCATGCCCCCAGACGGCGCTCAAGCACATCCGCCAAAGGGAACAGCGCGGTTCACGGTAAATCTTCATTTGGAGGACCGCCAGGATATGGTGTCCCGAAACGATCTTGGAAAAGGACAGTAGTCTCACCTAGCCGCTGGCCTGGAGGTAAAAGATTCAGGGAGAGTGAAGAGACTTTTGAGACTGTTTCGACCGAAATTTTCAATCAGGTGCCACAGGTTAGCCAGAAAAATGAGGTCCATCAACCCAGTGTTAGGCTAGTTGATGGATCTCCTGAGGGAGCTGAAAAGGCGAGTCAAGTACGAGCGAGAGGTTCTTCGCCTTTCTTCGCGGGGTCTTCCACAGCATGGAGAAGGGGTTCAAAGGTGCACTCATCAACTGGAGCCGAGTCGAACGACGGTGACCAAGATGTCATCGACGATGTCATCAAAACAATGATTCGGGAGAATAGCTATACGAAGACTATCGGGACATATTCATCGCTCAATCTCCCTGAGACACCGCTGCGAAGATATAACAGTGCTCTCCCATCTCATTTTGCGGCCTCATCGTCGTTTATGAATCATCCTAGTAGGGGCTTGGCTGCTGAAGAAGATGGCGCCTTCTCAAATGTGGTTGATGAAAGTGGACAAAGGGTCTGGTATCCGAAACACTCTACTAGAGAAAGCGGTGTTACATCATACAGTCGTGGAGGGTCATCATATTATCCTTATGAGCCATTTGAGTACGGCGTTGCGGTGACCTCCACACGAGCACAGGGGCCAGCCATGGGAAGACCTAGTATTGAAGAGGAACGGCCAACTCGTATAGTGGGTGAGATGCCTATACCTCCTCTGGTCACACAGCGAGCAAAATTAGTGGACTTTACGAAGAAAAGACCAGTCGGTATCAGTGAAGAGGGGAGTGAGGAGGAAATAAAGGGAAGCTTTCCGGTGGATATGACTTATCTGTAATATGATCTGGGGTTTAGTTATCGGAGTTTTACTTTCTTTCAAAATCTCATCCGTTCGTTTGAAGTTAAGTTTTATATATAATGTAAATATTTAGGGTTAGGCTGTTTTGGGGGGATTTTGTGATGATATTAGTGTATTTATCTCTAGATATTCCAGAGAATCAAACAATCCCTGGATTTCCGAAAACAATAGGGGTCTGTATAAGAAAAAGTGAGAATCGATGGGTGGAGTGGCGAGGTAGTCGCCGTTGGGCCAATTTTGAACTTCTGTATGCTAATTTTAAGTATAATAGGTTCGACGTTAGGGATGTACTCTATACGCCATAGTTTATACTGCATGCGACCATTCTGTACCTAGAAACTAGAAATGAAATGACTTCACACACACATAGGGATGTACTCTATCTAGACACTACAAGATCTTGGCGGGACTTTTCTATAGGGTTAGGGCTATCCATTTGCCCTCATATTTCTACCCAATTAAATTCAAACACACTTCTTTGGGCTACATGTACATGTATGTATTGGAAGGCTCTTGGTGACAGACCTAGCCCAATTAGGTTAGGCTTATGAGTTGAAGATACTACATACATGTAGTCGATTACTGACCAAGGGGAAGTAATGACTTTTCGATCCTATGAATTGAAATCTGGGGACTCGAGTTTATCGAAACGTTTATTACATACGTACATACAGTCAGCGAATCTCTTATTGTTTCCAATTTTAAATTGTGGTATTTAGGGTGGGCTTATCGTAAACTCAATATCATAGAGGATATCTATGCACATACAGTAGTTAGGACTGCCGAGGGCCGGGGCGTTTGTCGGATCTAATCATAAAATGCCGCTCGCTTCGGATCATTGGCGCGCGGATGTCAAATATTAAACCTTGGAAGTGCAAGTGTAGTCAAAGTTGGTAAAGATAGCTGACGCAAAGAAATGCCTAGGCCGGCCCAGCACTTCGTCGATTCAACATCTGTATGCACAAGTACTGTTAGGTTCTGCTATACCTTGTAATACCACTACAATTTCCCGTGCAAAGTGTACAGCGGTGGGTAATAAGTCATCGGACGACCTAGCCACAATTTTGCCTGCAAACGTGTATTTTGGTCTGATGACTTATTACCCACCGCTGTACCAGCACGGCATGGTACATAGAGACATACCTACATAGAGTACTTTAGGTACCTCGATATTCTAGGCAGCCATGCGCGGTTTGTGAATCAGGTTGGTTTGAGCTAGAATGAAGCTTTCCCCGCTGTTCGCTGCTTGAGAATGGTAGAGTGAATTGAAGATAATTGAGGATTTATCTTTATAGAGGGTTTGGAATCAATACCATACCTCCTAGTGTTCTGTAGTCCTATTCTGACTCGTATTCTACTTGTATGTGAATCTCGGGTGTTATATTCTGGACATGAATAGGACGAGTTTTTCTGGCGTCATCGGGAGTTTCATTTGCCCCTCTTTCCGGGTGAACGCTTTTCACTTCTCGTCTCCCCGCGTCACTGATAAGATTATGGTAATAGCAAATGCTCCGCAATGGACCTTTGGTATGGGACTATAAAATTACAGAAGTACGAGTACATACATGACATTACAGGAAATTAGAATAAACAAAGGGTTGGCTTCGCCTTCTTCAATCATTATTGCCTTATCAGCTTTGTCCAGCAGTGCCTTCTTCCTGTATCGCCCCTCTCAGAAGCACGCGACCGAAAAGAAGTCAAACCCTGAAAATCAGGATCTTCGGGCTTCTTTTCTTCTCTCTTTGATACGGTGCCTAGTTTTGTGACATGCGTACATTGAGGTCTTGTTTTAATTAGCTCGTTACCCGAAAGTTCTTGTTTTCTCTCATTTTTTCGTTGCATTTCAGACTGGGCGAGGGTCTTTCTGTAGCCGCAGCACAGACTTTGACAAGGCACTCTACCCCTTCTTTCCCCTCCCCCACCATCAACAACCACACAGCGCAACTCGAGGAAAAAGAATAAAGAGCGATTCCATCATCTTTTTAGCCACTACTTCTTTGTTTCACCTACAGGAGGTCTATCATCCATCATATACAGGTTCCCCACACATTGAAAATTACTACCAGCCTTTTCGAAGACCTGGATTGAATCTTTTACTTATCTAAAATTAAACGAACGACATCATGGGTCAGACTCTTTCGGAGCCAGTAGTAGAGAAGGTACGTCATTTTTAGAGAACGGAGCGAACGGAGAAAGGACGGATGAGGATGAGACGAACGGAACTCTTTTACTGTCTATTTGGCCCTCTAGCGAAGTTTTTAGGAAGATATGATCAAGTACCTGACACAAATTAGCTATCCGACAGCGGTGAAGATGATCGTTTGGCCTTCGGACTATCCAGCATGCAGGGCTGGCGTATCTCTATGGAGGATGCTCATGCTGCGGTCCTCGATCTCCATAAACCTGACGTTGCGGGCACTGCCGGAAAAGAGGGAAGGTTGAGTTTCTTCGGTGTCTACGATGGGCATGGAGGCGAGAAAGTTGCTGCATTCAGCGGGGATAACGTTCATAAGATCGTGGTGAAGCAGTCTTCTTTTGAGGCTGGCGATTACGGAAAGGCCCTGCAGGATGGGTTTCTTGCTACAGATAGAGCTATCTTGCAGGGTAATAAATTACCTTTCCTAGTGTTTGTGAAGAGTTGGCTCGGATTCATTCTAGGGCAGGATGCTGATGAGTCAACCGGTTCCCTAGATCCCCGCTATGGTGACGAGGTATCTGGATGTACTGCCACTGCCGCCCTTATTTCAGACACAAAGATCTATGTTGTAAGTTATTTCCCATCATAAATGAGGGTGATATACTAAGAGTCTCAATAGGCAAACGCCGGCGATTCACGTACAGTTTTGGGTGTAAAGGGAAGAGCTAAGCCCTTGTCTTTCGACCATAAGCCACAGAATGAAGGTTGGCTTTTCTTCCTTCCCGTGCGTAACTAGCACGTGATCAGAACATTAATGTTGTCAAAATAGCCGAGAAGGCCAGGATACAGGCTGCTGGTGGTTTCGTCGATTTTGGAAGAGTTAACGGCAACCTTGCGTTGTCAAGAGCTATCGGTGATTTCGAGTTCAAGAAGAGCGCCGACCTCCCACCAGAACAGCAGATCGTTACCGCCTTCCCAGACATCAACATACACGAAATCTCAGATGATGATGAGTTCCTAGTTCTTGCCTGCGACGGTAAATAATTCTTAGCTTTCAATTTTGCCTCTATTACTGATACCGTAACTAGGAATCTGGGACTGCCAGTCATCTCAGGCCGTTATCGAATTCGTTCGACGTGGCATAGCCGCCAAGCAAGAGCTTCATCGTATTTGCGAAAATATGATGGATAACTGCCTTGCCTCTAGCAGTGATACTGGTGGTGTAGGATGCGACAACATGACCATCGTTATCGTTGCCCTACTCCGTGGCAAGACCAAGGAAGAGTGGTATGATATGATCGTGAAGCGTGTTGCTGACGGCGATGGCCCTTGCGCTCCGCCCGAGTACGGCAAGTCTCTTTTCATTTTAATTCAACTGTCTACCCTTCCGTTGTGCCCTCCCAAAATAAGATCCCCATACGTAGCTCCTTTGAATTACTTTTAAATTTGTTCGTCATTATCAAAACTAACATACATATCAGCCGAGTTCCGCGGGCCGGGGGTACACAACGACTTTGATGATAGTCCAGACGAGTTTGATGCGCAGAACCAGTCGGGTGCGGGCCGTATCATCATGCTTGGTGATGGAACAGAAGTTTTGACTGATTCTGATGATGCAGACATGTTTGACGACGCAGAGGATAAAGAGGAGGAGGAGAAAGATGACGAGGCACTACGAAAGGTAGCTGCAAGAGAAAACAAAGGGGAGGACGAAGAGATGAAAGACATCACAAGGTCGGATAAGGATAAGGAGAACGCAAAGGTCGACTCTTCTCCTGCAAAAGCCGCCACCTCTACAGACGGAGGGCCCAAAAAGCAAGCTTCAAATTAGTTCAAAGACCAAAAAGTAATTCGGAGAAAGGGAAGGACTTCTTTCCTGAAATTTACAACTCCAACCCCTAAGCTTTTTATTTTTTTTGTCTTTGTGATTTTTTCAGAGAAATGATATGGTTGACACCAATTTTTCGTCACATTTGTGTAACCCGAGGAACATCATTAGACCGAAGCGATGTATGTTCTATCCGGGGAACTTACGAGGGCAGGGCATACCGGACTTCTTCATAAAGGAAACATGGGGTTATGAAGAATCTAAACCTTCGAGTTGTGTTTTGCCAGCCATTGTTTTTGTCATTTTCATGTTTTCATTGTTTTCATGCTCATTTGCAATTTTCATCTGTTTCTATTACATGTGTTTTTCTTTTCGTGTGGGATTACTACTAGCTGGGTCATGGACCGATGGTTGCTAGGTCTGTCGAGTTTCTGCTACTATTACTACATTACTATGGGCAATGGGGAATTACCGATCGGGGGCAATGAATTAACGAAATCTTTAGGAGAGGGGTATTCAAGTGGCTTTATGCCCCCTTTCTTGCTCATGTGAGGTTGAAGTTATTTTAGGACTATAATTTCTTTTGTTTTCTCTTTCTGCATTGCTTGCGGATGGATTAGACGGACATGGGTTTCTTCTGTTTATCACCTCTAAAACAGTTTCTTTCTCGGGTTTGACTGCGTTCATATTCCATTCTTTATCCCTTGGGGTTTTGTCCAGCTGTAGATAGATTCGGCTAAAGGCAATGGGTTTCCATAGGGCCCAAGCGCGCGGCTAATCTCGCTACTGCGAGTGATGGTCTGTGAAGCAGTGCAGGGTTAGTTACGGCTGCTAAGAACGCTCTTTTCCCACTTCTCCCTATTCGTTACCTTCTTTACTTCATTAAAACTGTATTTCCGATCGTTAGACGGGAAATCGACGGCAGAAGGCAACCGAGAAATTAATCTATCTACTGTAAATCCCACCCGGGTCTATGTATATATATGTTCGCACCATGGCGCCTTTATTTTCTACTCGGCTGTCTTGACACCCAGTCCAAAGACATCTACAGTATTCTTCCACGCAGCTTCGCAAACCTCCTCTACACTTATGCCCTTCACATTCGCGATGACATACGCCACCTGGGATATACACACGGGCTCGTTCCTGCCCTTTATCAGCTGATTGGTACCAGCAACGAAGCGCTCCTTCTTGACTGCTTTCGGCAGCGCAGGTGCATCTTTGAGGTATTTCGAAGATGCGTGAGTAGGGCGAATCTCGCACCATGGACCCTATCACACCAGGTCAGCTACGCCGCAAACTCGCCCAGGTAGCGAGACACTCCAGATGGGAATGCACACACATCAGTCTCAATCATAAGCCTGTCCAACGGTATCTCCTTCATAACCGCCAGGTTCTCTTCCGTCTTCAGACTACACCCATTGACACCCACATACAGCCCAGCGCCCACGATCCTCTTCATCTCGTCCATAGACCCCGTAAAACTATGTACCAGTCCTCCCTTCAGCCTCGGCAGCCTTGGGAACAAGATGGCTTCGAAGTCCTCGGCGGCAGCGCGTGAGTGCAGGAATAGCGGCAGCCCAAGCTCCTCCGCGAGGTCCAGCTGCATCGTGAACGCGAGCTTCTGCTCCTCGACAGAGGCGTGGTAGAGGCGGTCGTAGTCGAGACCGATCTCGCCGAATGCGGCGACGAGGGGCGAGGAAAGGGCGAGGGTCCGCAGGGAGTCGATGTAGGCGGCGTGGCCAGCGCGGTGGTTTGTGAGGTCTTTGGCACTGCAGGGGTGCACGCCGACGGTGGTGTACATGTATCCGGCTTTGGGGTGGTGTCAGGACTATCTATCCATTGTTATTTTGCGGGGGATGAAGGAAGAGCTTACGGTAGTTTTGGGCGATCTCGAGCGCCGCTTTAGACTCTTTGAGACAAGAGCCGGTGAGCATGAGCTTTTCCACACCGCCTAGTCTGCCGCGCTGAACTATGTCGTCGAGGTCAGATTGGTGGACCTGGGTAGTGAGGGTTTGTCAGCTATGAGATGCGGAGCGGTTTCTGTAATAAGGTGTTGAGCATCATACCTGCTTCCCGTGGTATTCGCCATGGAATTGGCGGTCCGTTAGGTTGATGCCTATGTCTATATACCGGGGGACATATGGGGATGATTGAGGGAGCGCCAAGTCAGACTGCGAAGAAGCTGCCGTTGCATCTGCAGATGAGGTAGCTGTGGAGTTCATAGCTGTTGAGGGAGCGCTGCTGGCTGTAGACATTTTTCTGGCTGATTGCGGGGTGATGGCGAACTGGGTATTTTGGCTATGGGTGTTCAGAAATCTCTTCTGTTTTGGGAAACTGAAGGCAGAAAGGTGAGCGCAGGTGTGGGTATGGGAAGTTATATTACGGAAGACAGCTGGGGGGAGGCGTATTCGCATATTTAAGTACATGTAGAGTACCTACATTCACCAGTAGCAGCCCTGACACCAACGCCGTATGAATGACTCTAAGGTCTTGATAGGGTGTCGTTTACTGGGGGAATTGAGATTTGTATTGAGTCACTCTCTCCTGCACTTTCAAGGGTGATTTCGCACAAAGAACAACATTTTGATCATTGAGGATTTTCGGAAGGTGAGTGGGGGTCATCTTGTTGCGGCTCAAATGGCGGTAGGGTAATGTGGAACATAACATTCTGTGTACTTAATCACAGGATGTCACTCGAGGTACTTCTGGGAAAAGTTGTTTGCCGATTTTCTACGAAAATCTGTCTATCAGAAGCTTTGTAGCTACCGCTTAAATAGGTGTAGACACGGATCGAAGGCAGAACTACCCAGGTCTAATCCCAAATGTTCTCTGGCTAGCTAGGCCTAGCTACCGTGCTGTCCTGCACAAAAACCCAACCCAAAGGCGCACTCCACTCATAAATAAAGCCCCCCCAATACCGACAAACATGTCAGCCAACATCCAAGCCCCACTAGAACACCTCCTAGCCGGCCAATGAGAGGTTGAAGCAGCACTGTTTACGTCATGGTCCTCTAGACAGATTAACCTCCATCCAAGCCTCTAGCTCTTCGTGATGAATTTGTTTGTACATACCTTCCTCGTCACCACCGAAGCTATAAACGTGTTTGGATTTTGTCTTCGTCTTTGCCTTTATATCTGTGTTTACCACTGCTGGTTTGGGCCCGCCAATAGCCGCTTCTGTGATCAGCGGGGAGAAGGTTTTATCCGTGGCACCGCAAGTACTCGTGGTAGCCGTGCACGTGGACGGTAGGGCGAGTAAAGATATCAAGAGGAAAAGAATAAGAGAAGAAACAACGATATTTTTTGATAAGAACTTCATGGTTTTCAGGACTGGTGAGGAGATGTAGGATCTCATTGGAAACTTATATCACGATCGTTTGATCATAAGGCCAGATTCAACTTCATTGGCTTTTGTATGGATGTTGGAACCAACAGCGAAGAAGCTATAGGCGCCTTAGTATTTACGTAAAGTGAGTAAAAGAAGGCGCGTGAAGGATTGATCTCGAATTGCTTGGTGCAAGATTCCCTTTGTTCCGAGATGCGTTGAGACGTGTGTCGAGCCTGCTACTATCAGCGCCAGGGGATTAGCGTTGCCAAGCGCCCTGGTGATCAATTATGTTTCCCTTTCATTCTGGGTTTTAAGTTTTGTTCCTGCCATGTATCCCCGAGGAGCAGCGCACCTCTCACACCCCGCGCGTAAGATGAAGCGCCGCGGTAGAAAAAGAAAAGAAACCCCCTCCTTCCAAAAAGCTTAGGTTAAACCTTAAATGCTCTCGATCCAGGCTAGCGTATTCATAGGTTATCACTCGTGTCCCAAGGACAGACTGTCAGGATCAATGTATCTTGCCACGGAGTGAGCTCGAGCCCACGTACATGCATATACATATAGAAGGGACATCTATGACAGCCTGCTTGTGCAGACCTGTGGTGTAACTTTGCCGTTTGGATTCCCACCGCCTTAATAGTCAAACTAAGGACATTTCATCACAGTGCAGCCCACCTTGACGATGTTGTTATCAGTGCTTGAAATTAAAATAGTAAAGCTTGCTTTAGGTATTTTTAGGTCTTTTACATCCTGGAGCTGGTCCAATAAATCCGCTCGACTATCGCATCGACACCTGACCCACCTACCAGTGTCATTCAAAAGATTCGGGTCCTGAATACCTACCAAAAGCCAAGAGAGTTGAAATTGTCTCGTGCCAGTTCTACACCTGCGCATGCTGTGTACCAAGCAGCCGGGACGGAGTCAAGCCCAAAGCGGGAGTATATCAAATCCCTCACGACATGGGCCCACACTATCCGTCAAGAACAATTCCGAAATTCTTCACTCTACTCTTTTTTGAACAATTCAGGGAGAAAAGGGAATCTTTAGTAAGTTCTAAACCAATTATTTCCTTCGGCGTAAATACATGTAGCTCTAATCTCATACGAAACATGGAATCAGGAAAGAAACTTATAACTTTGGAGTAATACCAAACAAATGCTTTTCATTGCTTTAAAAAGCCTCCTCAACTCCAAGAACACTAAGTGGTAGCGACTAATTCATTGTATTCGCCTTTCGCCTACTAATTCTTGACTGGCCCTGGAGGAGTAAAAGAAATAACACAAAAAAGGAAAGTGACTGAAAGAAACGCAAAATTCCCAGCCCAAACTAGAAATGAATCCTCACATTAAATTAAACCACTAATGACTTGGTTTTCCATACGCCGGTGGTGCACCCGCCTGGTACTGCGTCGGCGGAGGAGAAGTAGCCTGATAAGTTCCACCCGAGGGCCCATGAGCTCCTCCCGCTGAAGGTGGAGGAGATTGGTAGCTACCAGGACCACCAACCGGCGGCTGGGATTGGTAGCCACCGGGGCCGCCAGGACCACCAGGACCACCAGGACCACCAGCTGGCGGTTGGGATTGATAGCCACCGGGGCCGCCGGCTGTAGGATGGGGCTGATAGCCACCTGGGCCACCGCTGGTTGAGGGCGAAGGTTGGTACCCGCCTGGACCACTAGTGGGGGGCGCGTGATAGCCTGGCGCACCCCCGGCTGGGGAGTAGGCGGATGGTGGGGGAGAGTTATAGCCCTGGTATTGGCCTTGAGGTGGAGCGCCATACTGCCCCTGCTGCGGAGGCGCACCGTATTGGCCCTGCTGAGGAGGGGCTCCATATTGACCTTGTTGAGGGGGGGCACCGTATTGGCCCTGAACCGGTGGAGCACCGTACTGGCCCTGGGGACCTTGAGGGCTTTGAGGACCATGTGGACCCTGTGGGCCCTGAGGACCATGTGGACCCTGTGGGCCCTGAGGACCCTGAGGACCCTGGTAACCGCCCTGGGGAGCCGGGCCGCCGTATTGGTGCTGTTGTCCAACGGGACCAGAAAACTGCTGCCCTTGAGCGCCGGGTGAGGGGTAGGATTGCTGAGGATGCCCATAGGGAGGGTTGGCGTTATAGGGGGGTTTGGAGATGGGGAGCCGTGTGAGCCGTATTTTTGGGGTTGCTGAGATTGCTGGTGGGTGCCATAACCATAGCTCTGTTGCTGAACCGGTTTCTATCGCCATGATCGATCGTTAGTATTTCAATATATTCTACCGGTCCCAAAAGCGGGGAAATGTTGTACATACCGATTGACCATGGCTTCCGCCCCCTAGCACGCCACCAATAAGCCCACCAAGGCTACCAAGTCCTCCCGGCATTCCGCCACTGGAACCATGACCACCGCTGGAACCATGACCACCGCTGGAACCATGCGCGCCATGCGTGCCATGTCCACCTTGTCCACTCTGACCATAACCACCCTGCGAACCTTGGGTGTTATGCTTGTTTTTCCCTCCACCCAACAATCCACCGGCAATTCCAGCAGCTTGTCCAAACAAGCTGCTGCTGCCCCCGCTGCTGCCATGGCCACCATGGCCACTGCTGCTTTGCTTTCCGCCGCCCAACAATCCAGATGCCAATCCTCCCAATCCACCACCACCACTTGATGAATGGCCGCTGCTGGAATGCTTACCGCCTCCTAGCATTCCTTGAGCAAGGGTACCGACGAGGCCAGAACTACTTGAGTGCCCGCTGCTCGAGTGTTTACCACCTCCTAGCATTCCCTGGGCGAGACTACCGGCGATACCGCCGAATCCACCAGCGCGAGTAGCAGTCTGGCCTTCTGGCTGAGGACTATACTGTGATTGGCTATAAGCTGGTTGTTGCTGTTGCTGATCTACATAGCCTGAGTGTGAGGGTTGACTCTGCTGGTTATAGTTGTCTGTGGGCGCTGGATACGGAGATGGAGTGGGGGGACCGGGGGTGTTGGAAGCTTCCTGAGTTGGAACCTCCCAGGTTGTTTTTCCGTTCGCTGTTTGAACGTAGTAATAACGTTGCGTTGTCGGATCCCATTGTGCGATCCTAGAGAACAGAAACAATTAGATCCTGGACTACTCAGTTTAAGATAAGGGTAGGCGAGACACATACCAGCCGATGGGTAGGCTTGGGGGAGCAACACTTGGGCCGTTCGCGTTCGGTGACGCGATAGGGTTTGGTGGGGTTACCATGACTTGGGATGGTCGTTACGGGGGGGGATGCGGGGTATTCACGCTACGAAAAGTGGGAAACAAACGAATAGAGAGTAAAATGCAGGAATAAGTTGTAAGAGGCGTAAGGAAGGAATGTTATGCAGAATCAAGCTTCTTCTTGAGAGTGACTTTGAGTGGTGGGGGGGGGGGGGGGGTGAAGAAATAGAAAGGAGGAGGGAGAAACCAGAGAATAAGAGATGGATGGAAGCGCCTTAGCGAGTAAGAAGAGGTGGGGTTGGATGGATAAGTGAATGAGCGGAGGGGTTCCACGGCGTGCATGTGCATCAGTGTGGAAGCAAAAACGACCAAAACTGATCAAATAACGGGTGGGCTGTGCTCATCTCGGCCATCACCACCGTTCGCCAGGTACCTCATTGCAGCAGTAACTGCAGTATCCGCGCATGACCCAGTAACAGCCGCCACTCCTACGCATCATTTGCTATTATTACTTTCATTTTCCCTTTACTTTTGTGTCGGTTGGTGTGGCTGAGCCTGTTATTTCATTCTTCTGCTTCTTTTTCTACGAAGTACGAAAGCTCCTTTGCTGGCTGGATACCGCCGGCTGAAGCCTGGACAAAGCTGAAAGTGAGGGAATAACGTCAACAACCAACCAACCCACCCACCCAAGCCACCACCACCCCCCCTCCTCATCCTCCTCAATCAAATCCTACGATAATGACGGAACCATTTTTTTTTTATCTATGTATGAACACGCGTCTGCTTTGTTCAAATCCTACACCTTTTAGTCAGCTTATGGAAAGTGAAGAATGGTACTTAATAGATGCGGTCTGTGTGGCCCACAGCCCATCTTGGTGTACAAGGGTAGCTTGTGAAGCGGAATAAACGATACACACTCAAAAAAAAATCTACATGGATATTTCTAAACAATATGGACCGGACCGATTGAGGCTGCGGAATCATACTTGCGGTTTCGGGGTTACATACAGTATCAGCGGCGGTACGGTACGGTACGGTACGGTACGGTTGGCCATGGCTTAGTTGGGATCCGGCGGTAAAGCATATGGAAGTTACCCTGCCGGTCTGTCTGTCACCGCGCGCCAACGAAAGCTAAATGGGGTCTTTGTTTAATATTAAACTTTGAATCGTGAGTAAAAAAAAAAAAAAAAAAAGAGAGCTTACTTTGGAGGCTATGTAGGGTTGTATGGATTCTCTAGCTAAAATGCAGGGATTGGGATAAATATTGGTTAATTTGCGTAGTCACAGATGATCACTCGGTTCATCTCTCTAGTGTTTTTATTGAATTATGCTCTCTAATAACTTCATTTTATTTTAATAGCATACAGCTTAGAGCTGACTTGAACAGACGACCAGATTATGAGTATGGCTTACGAGAATGCTTAGTTTGCTTCGTCTTGTGGACTACATTAGCTATCGCTAATATCGAGTGAGAGTTCATGATACAACACGCGGACCATCTGTGAACTAAAATCACAAAAACCTCAGCACAACGCAAATCAAACCTGCATATCCTCTAAAATTATCTGATTATATTAATAGGTATTACACTACAGACAATACGAGGATTGAACAAAAAAAAGAGAGAAAGAAAACGCTCAAAATCATGCCCCCCGATCCACTAAAAAAATGCATTCCCCTACGACCGCCCCCAAACTCATTCTCAGCCAGACGCATGATATCTTGCAAGCCTGGATGCATGTCTTTTGTTGCATTGGTCCAGAAACATTCTGAGCTTTGGCATGCGTATAAGGTTCTGGTATCCTGCAGGAGTCATAAGCTCCATGCATCTCTTAGTTATCTCCTCCTCCGGACTTTGATTAAGGCCGACCTCTACTCGTAGAGGATCAACTCTAGATTTAGATTATTTGAATTAGTACATCATTACCAAAATAGAAAAAGGGCAGCTGAATGAAACTTACTCATAAGTCGGTCGGAGGTCAAGAGAGATGTGATACGGGAACCGTGGTCTTTTTGGGTTTGACTGCCCATGCTCAGAGGCCGCGTAGTCGACCACGGAGTTCTTGGGGCTCGTAGCCTGGTTGGGGGCACCGGATCCCCTCACGACTATTGCTTCCTCCTCCTCCTTGGGCTCCATTTCCTTCCGGAGAGACGTCTCACCGACCATCTCATGCCCCGTCTCACCACCACTTTGATACAAGTCATAGCGGCCCTGATCCGCGTTTCTAAAAACTGCTTTGTGCGCATCCATTGCAGCCCTACTGGTCTTAATTGGCGATGTGCTTTCCTTTTCATCTGAACTCTCGTCGTCTGTGCTGGGCGCTTTTGGTTTGCCCATCTTTCGGCGGCTCTCTTCGTGTTTTACTCGTTCCAGGTGCTCTTTTACCAGCCTTTTGATCTCCTGCCGCTCTTTTTCGGCTTGCTGGAATGCTTCGATTTCGGCGGCGCGTTCCTGCTGCGCTTTCTCGCGCGCTTTGAGATCAGCCAGGCGTTTTTTCTCGGCGTTGTCCATACTAGGCTGAGTTTTAAAGCTTCCAGATGCATCGGATTCCTGGGTTGTTTCAGACTTGTGCTCTTGAGATCTTGCCTCTACCAATGGTGTGTCCTCCGTGGTTTTCTGTATAGACATATCGTTAAGATGGCTATTATTAGTAGTGATCTCAACTTCGGGCTTAACGGGTGATTGGGTTGCGGGTGCTGCTTGAAAATTAATCCTAGCAAACGGTTCATTAACCCTAGGGAATTTGGTCTCTTTGGTTTCTTGGTCTGAATGCTTCTCATCTTTTTCATGATTATTTGCGAGAGATTCTTCTTCCTGGGCCTCGCCGGATGGTCTAGCCTCACTTGTAACTTCAAGTTGTCCCTTCACTCCAGAATATTCCTCCTCGATAAACTCATTGGGAGGCACTTCTGAGACTTCCCATGTTGACTGCTCCTGGGGTCCTTTAGTTTCTGAGCTGTCCTCCTCTTCCGCTACAGCTTGTGCGATATCCTCTACAAGATTTGCCATTTCAACGTCAGGTCTGCCCGCCTCTGCGCTTTCTTTAGCAATCATCAGTGATTCAGCTTCCGCTACAACGTTTTCAGTCCTCAGAGCCAACGCTGATACAGCTTGCTTGAGAGCATCGCGCTTCGCTTTGATATTATGCAATTCACACTCAATTTGAGACATTGTCACTTCCTTGGTCTCGATTTCCCGGAGAATCCCTTCCTTTTGTAACATCATCATGACGATACGGGCCTGTAGGGATTGTTCAAAGCTATCGATACTAGATACCTCGGTCTTGAGATTGTTAACGGATTCCCTAATCGCGCTGATATCATTATGTAGTGATTCAATTGTTGCGTCATCCTCTTCAGAGATATTGTCCGAGCCGGTGGGGTTTGTGTTAGCATGCGCTTCTAGGCTACTCTCCTCTCCTCTACCGACTGAATCCTTATTGATGACAGTGCTATTAGGTTCCAGAGATTTAAGGGGAGGTGTTCTAGTGGCCTCAGGATGTGGTTTGGCGGAGGATAACTTATGTGGAGCCGTACCAGCACTATTATCACTTGAAGCCCCACCCAGCTTGAAGACAAACGGCGCTCCAGGACCAGTTAAAGGTGTAGAGGGAGTTGCAGAAACCTGGTGCTTGAATATAAATGGCGAACCAGGCTCAATGGTGGCTTGAGGCCTGGGAATTGGCCCAGTATTTGAAGGAAAGATGGTTTCAGGGAAAATAGAAGGCTTGGGGGTCTCAGGAACCTTTTGAACCAAGGGAAAGAGAACTGGGCCAGGAGCAACAGCAGGGTATGTTTGTGAAGAAGCAAGTTCAGGACTCCTCTTCCTAGGAGCACCGGGTATAGTGGAAATATCTGAAGCGATTGGTAAGTTGGCCTTTTCCTGGCTTGGTAATTGAAACTTGTTTTCGGAGGAGGGGCCAGTGTCTGCCTTTGCCGTTTCTGAGAATCGGAAAAAGGCTCCAGAGGAAGAAGCCTTGTCGGCCATTTCCTGGTCTGCTGGTATAAAAAAGTTCCTAGGGGGAGGGGCTTGGTCGAGCTTTGCCGGCGTCGGGCTTTGGAATAGACTAGAAGCGGGCTTTGGTGGGTTTGACAGATAGTCATAATCGACACTGTTCGTTACAAGTTTACCCGTATTCCACCTAGTTTCATGTATAACTTAGCAATTACCTTTAAATTATCAAAGGAAGCTTGAATAAACTTACTGGCTAACCTCCGGATTCCTAACAACAGACCTCGCAGAGAGATGAGGCGGTAGGGCAGATGTTTTTCTAGGAGGAAGGGCAAAGACATCCATATCGCTTGGTCCCTTGGAGGCGTAGATTGGTGGGGTATTGGGCGGCGCAGCCCTCCGCTGCTCAGCGACCTGTGCTCGGAGGGGAATGCGGGCATTTCCAGCAAGATGGTGCTTGACGATACTATGAACTCCCCTGGAGCGAAGTGATCTTTTCCGCCCCGCGACTAGCTCAGGTGCCCGTAGCGGGGCTAGGGGATTGCCCGGTGGCCCTTCGCTGTGCATGCTACTGTTGGTTATTTAGTATTCGTAGTCCCACCAAAAAGAAAGCCAAAAAGAAGGAGAAAAAGAAGAAAAAGCCAGCTGGCCGACAACAAATAAAAACCCATCAACAGATGAAAGATCAAACACAAACCTCATCTCAGCCCTGATCGCCGCCCTCCTCTGCAGCACCGCAGACCCACTGACGGTGCGAACACTGTCCAGCGGGCCGCGCGTGAAAAACGGTATCTCGGGCGGCAGCTTGCCAAGCTCAAAGAGCGACCTCGAATGCCGCAGCTTCCGCCCACTGCCCGGTGGGGACTTGTTGCGCCCCGCTCTCGACCCCAGGTCGGCGGGGTAGCGGCCGCTGCGGTGGTCGTCGCCATTGTGGTTGTTGCTGTTGTTGTAGGGTTGGTAGTTGGGGCCGCTGCGGTGCATCTGGCCTTCTCCGAGGCCGTCGTCGCGCTCTTCGACGAGTTTGGGGTCGAAGAGGGCTTTGGGTGGGAAACGTTAGTTTACTGATACTACTACTAGGAGGGGAGACGGGGGAGGGGGGGGGGGGAGGAAGGGGGGAACTTACAGGCCCAGGCATTGGGTATGTCGGGGTAGTCTTCGGCGAGCTTTGCGACGCGCGGGTTGTGTTTTGAGATGTCTGGTGGGGGTGGGGGGAGGATTTTTGTGCTGCCGGAGAGGGGGAGGGCGGCGCGGCGGTGGGTGCCGAGGTCCGCCTGTGGATGGGGGGTTAGTGGACGTTTGTGGGGAGGAAGGGGAGGGAGGGAAGGAACGAGGAAGAGGGAGGAGAAGGAGGAAAGAATGAGGAAAGAAGGAGGTACTTGCCATCATTTCGGCGGCGCCATAGGTGTCGAAGCTGGCTGCCGCAGAGGGCGTGAAGCGGGAGTCTTGCGGGGTGAAGGATGGCATCCCAGGTGGATGGGATGGGATGGGATGGAGGGGGCTGGGATGATACTCTTTTTATGGGGTAGAGGGGGGGGGGGGGGGGGATGAATTGAGTGGAATATGGGGAGAGGGATGAAGCGTATACTTGTAGCAAGCTATTTTATAGCAGAGGAGGAGGAGGAGGAGGAGAGAGTTTATCTACAATTGATGATGGTGATGGATGATAGAAAGTGGAGGGGAATTGGGGGAATGAATGTGGTGTTTGTGGGAGAAGGTTGTAGTTGACGTTAGTGGTGGCTGTCGTTCGTAGTTGTAGGTTTTGTGTGTGCAGACAGCAGCTCAGTGGGATTCACCGAGCGAGAATCCATGACGCACAGAGATTAGAGAAAGGGCCAGACAGACTTGGCAGGCCAGACCCTGACCCTGACTGACAGGCGGCTCAGTCAGCATGATATCGAGTGAGAATTCGTCCCCTAAGCCCTGAGTTTAGTAGCTACCCTCCCCCGGTACATAAAGTGCGCGCAGTGGCAGTAGTGGGGTAAAAAAAAAAAAAAAGAAAAGCTTCCCCCACCAACCCCAGGTTTTCTGCATCTCGACATCTCTCGCCCACACATTCGATCTAGCAGAGAGGAGTGAGAACAAATTCCACAGAATGCAGTCAGCAAGGATTTCGCGACTGGCTCGCGCCGGGAACAATAAGGTAAAATACATGATAATTATCATTTCATCTATCTATCTGTGAATTGCTTCAATTGCAATTGCAATTGCTAGATATCTGCTACCCCAATGCTCCATCTCCCCAATCCTTTCTCTTCCTCCTCCCTGAAAGCTCAAGAACAACCCAGCTAACAACCTCCCTCCCTCCCTCCCCCCACCCAGTGGACCCCCACCGCCACCACCCGCACCTTCACCCGCACCCTCGCAACCCCCGCCAGCAGTAGCACACACACCAACTTCTCCGCCCACCCCGAAATCGCCTCCCGCACGCCCCCCTACGCCAAACTCACAAAGAACCTCACCGAAGTGCGCCGCGTCCTCGGCGCCGCCACACCCCTCACCCTCGCCGAGAAGATCGTCTACTCGCACCTCGCGAGCCCCGAAGAGTCGCTCGCGGGCCGCAATGGCAACATCCGCGGCGACGCCTACCTCAAGCTCAAGGTCGACCGCGTGGCCATGCAGGACGCGAGCGCGCAGATGGCGCTGCTGCAGTTCATGACGTGCGGGCTGGCGCAGACGGCCGTGCCCGCGAGCATCCACTGCGACCACATGATTGTGGGCGAGCACGGCGCGGACACGGATCTGCCGAAGAGCATTGAGGGCAACAAGGAGGTGTTTGACTTTTTGGAGAGCGCCGCGAAGAAGTATGGGATACAGTTTTGGGCACCGGGGTCAGGGATTATTCACCAGATTGTGCTGGAGAACTATGCGGCGCCCGGGTTGATGATGCTGGGGACCGACTCTCGTATGTACAATCCTATACACTGGCTTTACGGAGGGCTGACAGGTGAACAATAGACACTCCTAACGGCGGAGGACTCGGCGCCATCGCCATCGGTGTCGGTGGTGCTGATGCTGTTGAGCCACTGGTCGACGCCCCCTGGGAGCTCAAGGCGCCCAAGGTTCTCGGCGTGCGCCTCGAGGGCCAACTCAGTGGCTGGGCCACGCCCAAGGACGTGATCCTCAACCTCGCGGGCCAGCTCACCGTCCGCGGCGGCACCGGCTACATCATCGAGTACTTCGGCCCGGGCGTCGAGACGCTCAGCTGCACGGGCATGGCCACCATCTGCAACATGGGCGCTGAGGTTGGCGCCACCACGTCGCTCTTCCCCTACACCGCCTCCATGACCGCGTATCTCAACTCGACCCGCCGCGCGCCCATCGCCGAGGCTGCCACAGAGGTCAACAGGTCGCACAACTTCCTGCGCGCGGACGAGGGCGCAAGGTACGATGAGGTCATCACGATAAACCTCTCCGAGCTCGAGCCGCACATCAATGGCCCGTTCACGCCGGACTTGTCGACCCCGCTGTCAAAGTTCAAGGACGTGGTCAAGGAGAACGAGTGGCCTGCGGAGCTCTCGGCCGGTCTTATCGGGTCGTGCACAAACTCTTCGTACCAGGACATGCTGCGCGCCGAGCACCTGGTTAAGCAGGCTGAGGAGGCCGGCTTGAAGCCGAGGGTGGGCTTCTTTGTTACCCCCGGAAGTGAGCAGATTAGGGCCACCCTCGAGCGGGACGAGACCCTGAACGTGTTTGAGAAGGCCGGCGGCACCGTTCTTGCAAATGCCTGTGGACCTTGGTAAGTATTATCTTCACAGGCCATCACTCGGTGCCATCCACTAACCCGACCACAGCATCGGCCAATGGAAGCGCAGCGACATCTCCAAGGGCGACACCAACGCCATCCTCACCTCCTACAACCGCAACTTCCGCGCGCGCAACGACGGCAACTCGCAGACCATGAACTTCCTCGCCTCGCCCGAGATCGTGACGGCAATGATCTACTCCGGCTCCATGTCCTTCAACCCCATGACCGACAGCCTCCCCACGCCCTCCGGCAAACCCTTCAAGTTCTCACCCCCCACCGGCCCCGAACTCCCCTCGCAGGGCTTCGAACCCGGCAACCCCGCCTTCGTCCCCACCACCTCCGCCCCCTCCCCCACCACGCCCGTCGTCGTCTCCCCCACCTCCGACCGCCTCGCCCTTCTCGACCCCTTCGAGCCATTCGGCACCGCCGACCTCAAGGGCCTCAAGGTCCTCTTCAAGGTCAAGGGCAAATGCACAACCGACCACATCTCCGCCGCCGGCGCGTGGCTCAAGTACAAGGGGCACCTCGAGAACATCTCCAACAACACGCTCATCGGCGCGCAGAACGCCGAGACGGGCGAGGTCAACCGCGCATACGACGACGACGGCACAGCCTCGGGCATCCCCGAGCTCGCGCGGAAATGGAAGGCGAAGCACCAGCCGTGGCTCGTCGTCGCGGAGAATAACTACGGTGAGGGGTCCGCGAGGGAGCATGCGGCGCTGCAGCCGAGGTACCTCGGCGGCCGTGTGATACTGGCGAAGAGCTTTGCGAGGATCCACGAGACGAACTTGAAGAAGCAGGGGATTGTGCCGCTGACGTTTGCGGACGAGGCGGACTATGAGAGGATTGGCGCGTGCGATGTGGTGGATACGGTGGGGCTGTATGAGATGCTGAGGAATGGAGGGAAGGGGGAGGTGGCGCTGGAGGTGACGAGGAAGAGTGGGGAGAAGGTGAGGATTGGGGTGAGGCATACGATGAGTGAGGACCAGTGTGGGTTTGTGTTGGCGGGGAGCGCGCTGAATCTTTTGTCGAAGAGGAGCCAGGCGTAGAGGGGGGTGGATATAGAGCTAGTGATACCTGTGTTTGGGCGTGTGTTTGGTGTTGGGCTTTTGTATGTAGTTATTGCAAGGGGGGGAAAACAAAAAACAAAAACAAAAGTTCTGGCTTTAAAGGGCCTTTCTTTTGGGGGTCTCAAGTTACACTGTGTGCTGTTTTTTGTTTTGTTTTGTTTTGTTTTCTGATCTGGTTTGTGATTGTGAAGATATCAATGATCGGTTTGCCGCTAAAACACGCTCTATCATTGACCCTTTCTGTCCGCGGACTGCAGGATTCCCTCGCTCCCCCGGGCGATGGCCTGGCTGCCAAGTCTTTCTCGCCATAAGCCAATTCGGTGATCGAGGTCTCGCTGTCTTGGGGGTTTATTTCTCTGAATGTGCGGTTGAGGGGAGTGTGAGAACTAACTTTACAGCACCTCGGGACTCACACCTCTGCTTAGCCAGCCACTACCACTTAACCCCAGCCAGCCCGGCTCCACATTAACCCAACCCAACCCCACCACCGGCGCCCACCACCGCAAAACCCCCACAGCATGACCTCCGCCTCCCCCGCCTCCGCCGACACTTCCTCCACCCCGGCCGCCATGGCCACCCTCCTGCCCAGCTTCCGCGCCACTCTCCGCGCCTTCACCGCCTCGCCCGCAACAGCGTTCCAGCACATCCGCTCCACCACGGCCGCTCCCCTGTCCGCTGCGAAACAGCTCTTTGTCCTCGACTCGTCGTTCAACCCGCCCACCAAGGCGCATTTCAGGATCGCGCTTAGTGCGTTTAACGATTCTACTGCTACTACTACTAATACTACGGCTGGATCAGCGGCGGCGGCGGCGGCGGCGGAGAAGAGGCTGCTGCTGTTGCTGGCGACGAATAATGCCGATAAAGGTCTCTCTCGATCCTGCGTAGATCTAGAGCTTATAGCTAGCTAGCTGGTACTTACAAGCTAACATACCATACCACACCCAGCGCCCAAACCCGCCCCCTTCGACGACCGCCTCGCCATGATGACGCTCCTCTCCTCCGAAATCTCCGCCCTCTCCTCCACCTGCACCTCCCCCACGACCCCAGCGGCCGTCGACGTAGCACTCACCAAGCACGCGCGCTTCCTCGACAAAGCCTCCGCGCTGCGCAGTGAGTACACGGGCGCGCACGAGTTCGTCTTCCTGACGGGCTTCGACACGCTCGTGCGCATCTTCGACCCGCGGTACTACCCCGAGGCCGAGCACCGGCTCGACGGGCTGAGTGCGTTCTTCGAGAGGGGCGTGGTGTGGTGCATGTTTCGCGAGGGCGAGGGGTATGGGGGGAGGCGCGAGCAGGAGGCGTGGTTGGACGGGTTGCGGGGGGGGAAGTTGGAGGGGGTGGGGGGAGGAGGAAGTGGGCGGGGAGGGTGAGGTTTATCGTGAGTATTCATTCTGGGTGTGAGTGTGGAGGAGGAGAGGGAGCGCTAACGAGGTGTGGGTGGTAGGAGAATGATGCGGGGGAGGTGGTGAGCTCGACGAAGGTGCGGGAGGCGGTGAAGGGCGGCAATGGGGAGGTGTTGGAGGCGCTGTTGACGAAGAGTGTGAGGGAGTATGTGCTGGAGAGGGGGCTGTACTTGGATGATGGTGAAGGGGGTGCCGGGTTCGATCATTGACCAGCTTGTGGGGGATTTTTTTGTCTTTGCGTTTTTAGATACCCCCCTTTTCTAGATGGAGATTTATAATGGAATGAGGGTTTGCAAAATTGATCGTTGGTTGTGTTGAGGTCAGTACTTATTGAAGAACTTGGAGTGTTTTTTTTTATATCTTTCTACTCTGGATAGAGTCGCGACGGGCAGGAACTACATGTTGTGGGGGATTTATTGTAGAGGTTTATGGATTTTGGTGATATGGTCGTTATCCCCGTATTCAAGGTCACGCCAGAGCTGAGATCCAATACCTCCATTCATATCTCAATTGTCTCTTGAAACAACAGATAGAATCGTGGGTGGCGACATGAGCGGGCGATTTCTGTTTGATGTTGATCACGACGCACGTACCAGAGCGCGTAGAACACATGTAGCTCGCCTAAACACCTAAGCTAGGGAATTCGTACTGTCCTTGGCACTGAAGTAGTAGCACTAGGGATGAAAAACACACATGGCGAGTGTGGCCTGGAAGACACCGGGAGGTTGTACGTTGCCTTCGATTACAGAAGGTCCAGCGTTCAACCCGGGGGTGGAGATTGTATATCTGGAGATTGTATAATCTTTTGTTCTTTTTTTTTGTTCTCTGGGAAAAGAAATCGGCACCTGGCTTATTTATTATTATACGGGGCTGGAGGTCTCTCTATACTTATAAGAGTTTATAGCGCATCTTTTAGGTAACGAAGGGCCGGGGGGACCATTGTCGTAATATACAGTAGCTAGTAGCAGACGTCGGAATATTATCTATTGCCTATTTATAGGGATGCGTGCTCTATAAGAACCCGATATATTAGGACCCTAGAGTTTCGCAGCTAGTAGTTACTTGGCTGTAATCCGTATATTGCTGGCGACCACCCGGGTACGTACGTACGTACGTGTAAATTTATGAAGGAAACCCCCGGCACTGGTGGGTCGAATCATAGATGAGCACTCGATCGACATCGATCGCCTCTAAACTGCCAAGACGTTTACTTGAAATCACCAGTAGAGTAGTTCAGATTAGTGCAACACATTACTACTGCTACGCCAATTATCTAAGCTACTAAGCTTACAACTCCGGCCGGCTCGTTTTTGTGAGTAAGTTGAATCTTGGCAATAGGGTTATAATGCATATGGGTGTCTACTACTATATATAACCACTATATACATTGTATTGCAGCTAACAATTGCATATACTATATATGGCTACTATATATATTTTTTAATTCATTACTATATATATTGCTTGTATATCATAGCACGAACTCTTAGGGCGTCATTTTGCTGTAGCATTCATTGGTAATATGATTCTAATACTCCAACCCAAGATCTTCTATAGCGCCGCGGTGGGTAACCACCGGCCCACTCGACTCCTCTTTCTCCCCCCATTGCATTTCCGCCGTTTGAATCTGCTCAGGTCAGCTAGCTCCGCGACGTAGAAAGCAGGGCTGCACTACTAGGATCCCAACCCACAGCTAGGCCGGTAGTTTCTGACAATTGGTTAGTTATACGTCAATGCAGCCCGAATGAAGGCCTTTGTTTCGGCGCAGGTTCATGAGCGATCACTCGCACTCACTCTTAAGTGGACTGTTGAAATTATGTTCCGAGCCTAGGAGCTAACTCCTAATACTCATATAAGTGTCAGTATATATGTCAGTATGTAGTCATATATAGACTGTTCTGGGCACAATATTCTTGTATAAATAAGGGCTTTATATGCCCCCTGTATTATAGTCAAGCAAGTCAATTGAGAAAGTCACAGTCTTCCGCATTTATTATTATTCACTACTATTTATTTCCAACATGGACACGAATTGAAAAATGTGGCGAAAGACAACGACTGATCCGGAACCCCTTCTAGCTGTTCTCCAGTGATCAGTGAGTGGGGGGGTGGATAATGGCTTGGTTTAAAGGTGGGGGGGGGGGGGGATGCTCGCGAAAAATGTCGACTTGAATAAAGGCTGCCGCCTGACATGGGTGATGATCTAGCGGCAGGTACTTTTATGGCTGGGTTATCAACCGCCATGACTGATGGTGTGGATTGAAATTCTTAGATTGTAATTAATCAGGATAGGCTACGATATTATAAATGCTTGGACGGCGGTGATAGCGGTGGAAAAGTATTCAGGCGGTGAGTGGAGTAATATAGGCCGACAAATATCTTTTGGTGCTTATATTTTGATACTGACCACGTACGAGATGGACTTTAGTAAATCTCAGCCTTTCAAGGTCTAAGTGCTAGATAAGCAGGCGCTTAGCTAAGTACTAGGCTTTGGTGAGACCCTTTCTCTAAAGTTTAAGCATATTAGTCTCCCCCCACGTCTCGATCACGTTTAATTGGTGACACATGACGAAATCGCAAAGTTTCACACGTTATTATTATTATTATTTTCAAATTGATACGCAGTCATAACGAGATTTAATGATTTAATGATTTAATTCCGAGCATCTTCCCAACTGAACTAACACGCCGACAGAATGCAATGATACTAGTAAATCTTCAATTACTAGCCAGCTAGAAAAGAAGAAGAAAAAAACGCCATGCAATACACCGGCCCCTCGGTCCAAAAAACCAAGAACTTAAGGCCCATGTAGCAGAAAAACAAAGCAAAGCAAAGCAAAACAAAACGAAACCCTCTCCTACCTATTTCTCCGGCAACCCCTGCGGCATGAAATCCTCCTCGTCGTCAAACGCGGCCCATCTCTCCACCGTAGCTGCGTACTTTGCAGTAACCGCACTAGCATCCCTGATCCTCCGCTCTTCCACTCCAGCCTCCTCCTGCTCCAGCAACTCGCGGTACTCGCGGTCACTAAGCAGACGGGGGAGGACAGTTTTTTTGGTATCCTTATTGCTCTGGAAATTGGCACGGGGCTCAACGACGGTGGTGGTGGGGGTGGTCGGGGGTGTTGGCGAGGGGACGAAGGGCTTGCTGAGGGGGTTCAGCTTGGAGGTGTTTTGTGGGGTCGACATCGTTTTTGAGTAATTTGCCTATTGAGTAGTTTTGGTGTTAAAGCCGGAATTGTGACGTTGTTGAAGTGGTAGTTGGATGGTGAAGATGGAGTTTGAGCTGGTGCAACTCGAGCGGTATATATAAGTGTGGCGTAGAGCGCCATGTGTATATGAAATCTCAAATGGAGTCTTTCAAGCCATTCTATGGACTTGAAAAATATTGTTTGGTGGGGGCGAGTGATGGGTTGTGAAGAAATACAGGGGGGAGGGGAATAGAAAGATATCATATAGCTGACTAGCCCCACATCGTAGTACTAATTATTTCATCATTGGAAAGAGAAACCTTGTTTCTCTCGGATGGTACTGTAACACATTCTATTCTTGACACTGATATTATGAGGAGGAAACAAACCGTCTCCTCGCCGGTTTGTCTGGTTTCTGACTAAATATAGATATCGTGGTGCTAGTAGTTGGCTTTTATTCAAGTTTTTAAAACACGGGGCGGCTTTGCGTATCCATGGAGCGTTATAATTATCGGTTTTCTTGAAATATTCTTCTAAAATAAATTTAATTACAGATTGAATAATTGTCTAAGGTAAGTTGTATGGCTTATGGGAAACAATAGATACTCATAGTACGTACACTCGGCTCGTAGTTATGGAGTTGTGGAGAATATTCATATACTTCTTGCAATTGTTGTTGTATCCATTACTATTCGACTTTCTGTCTTTGACTCTTTTCAAGTCCACTCTCTCACCAGCCCATGAAAATCAACAGAGCCTCAGGGCACTCCGTGTGCAACCAGCTTTCAAGTTTGGTATCACAAGCGAGCTAATAGCGCACTTGTGCAACTACTGTGCATGTATTCATCTTACAGCTCGACAGATGAGTAGCCAGTGCACTCCAAACCAGATCCGCCCCCCATCTTCCGCGTGCAGCATGCGCAGGTGCTAGTCAGGAGACTGACAGACTTTAGGCCAAATCCATGGATCTTCTGTACTTCGGTATCAAGGGTAAGTGAGTAGAACGTGGCAGCGTGGCTAAAGCTGTAGTTTTCCTGTTTTGCTCGCGAATATGAACCGCTGCGCCCTACTCACTTACCCCTGATACCGAAGTACATGCAGTCCAATGAGAACATAGTGCTACAGTGTTACTGCTCATCACATGAGGTAGTACGTGTAGATTATTATATAGATTGCCCTATCAGCAACATTGAGATAGCCACGCCCCAGAGATCCGATAAGATTGTAGACTTTGTGGATAATGTCTAATCTTATCAGACGCAGAGAGCATTTCAGCCCTTCTAGTACCTTCTAAGGGGTATCAATGTCACAGGTACAAGCTGACCCCTATCTTCAGCCCTAAGGGTCGAGTCCCAGCTTATTATCAGCCGCTAGAATATTTCCAGAACGCCCGGAACCACAGCTCGATAGAGAACTCCCGAAATCAACCTCGGCTCATAACACCGGCTCAGATCATAACACCGGAGAGCTGCAGTCACTAGCTAGCCCGTTCTCGAACCCAACTTGCCCTGACTGGTACCGGGGTGGTCGTGTTATTCCCGGGATCGGATCTCTGCGAGCCGCATGCCATGCTGGGCTAACGTCACGTCACACAACTAACAATGATCCAACATTCCCGATCGTCGAGGACCCGAGTGGCTTTCTCGGAGCTTCCATCTCGAGAAGTTTAATCAAGAGCCAAAAGTGATGTATCCCGGGTACTGTGTCTCATCGAGGGGAGCGGTGCAGGAGGCCGAATCATCATCCATCACTCGACCGATTATAGCCTCGAAAACAGATCGAGATCGCACGCCGGGTGTCAACGTCAACAACAACACACGCCAAAGGCCATAAGTGCTGCTTTAAAGATAGGCCCGCACCAACTCGCGATAATAATGGCTTGTGGGGTTTTCCGACGATAGATTAGGACACTTCTCTAAGGGAAACAGGGAAATTCCATCGCCGATGTGAGGAGAACAAAGGGCTCTCCACGGTGCAGTAGAGGAGAGAAATGAGACAGGACGTCAATGTTTTTGGGCTGCAGTATGTACTTGTTCGTGTGTGTGTGTGAGGTGAGGTGAGAGTGAGAGAGAGTGGAGGGTGTCACCAAAATATGGATAAGCATTCAAATGTTGCTGGCAACATACGTCACCCGTTTGGGACCAAACTACCTGCACCGTTCAGGCACGCACCCTTTTCAGAATCTCACTCTGATTAACATTTATTGACATGTGATAATCATTGCGTGTTGCTGTTGGGAGTCATGATGGGTTTATTCTTATTGACACCCAATTATTGCTTCGCAGCTACATACAGACACACATGGCCAGCTGGTGGATAATGTACTTGGCCGCAGATAGATAACCACAACGTCGGTAAATATTAACATTATAATTCACGTGACTAGCCATGTTTATCATAATCCATCTTAATTGGTATCAACTAATTACTATAATTGGGCACCGGCACAGTACGGTATTCCCACCCTTGGGCTTCTGCTGTGTAAAGGGAACTTTATTCATCCGGTACTACTACAACATAGAGCTAATACGGGGAGGCCAAATCACTCACAAAGTGCAAAGTAGGTACCCACAGCCTGGCCAGCTGGTTGGTATCTTGAGGTCGGAACTAACGTCGTTAGCTACTAAGAAGGCAGCTTATTGCCAACTGCAATCATAAACCTGTTTATGAGATTTCAAAAACCCCGTAAGGATCCGATTCTTAACAATTGCTGCGATCCGAACACTCTTCCGCAATCATATATATATATCTAGGTATTCCGGGGAGCACAAGATCACGGAGTAATGTACCATACTGGAGAGAGAAATAGCCAAGAATTAGCTCAAATTAAGGATGTGTTATCACCATTTCCTTCTCCAAGGAATGCCTCCGAGACACTGGCGCAATGCCCAATTTCCTTGCTCCGTAGCCCAACAACATGACAAAAACATCTGAGCCTTGATATCTAGAAACAGATATTCTTACAGTTACAAAAAACAACAAACCTGAGCTGCCGGGAGGAGCGGAATCAGCTCAATAGCAAGGCCGGAAGAAACTCCGCGAGCAACAAACACCGCACCGCATCCCCCAACGAAATGAAAAGCTCGAAGAAGAACCACAAGATCCACAGGGACAGATATGAGATACAGTACAGAAAGTAGAGCACTACTGATTTACGGTAAGCAAGTCCTAGCGCCGCGCCGTACGTTCAAAAGGAAAACGAGAAGGTAATTCGGATAACATGTCTCAATCAAGCCCGTTATGGTAGTTAAATTCTCACCGGCGAACAAGGCGACTTTGATCGGATCGGAGCTCTATAATAGCTAGGGACAAACTAGTTTATCATCAAGAGGTTGCGTTTCGTTGGCTACTGCTGCCGACTGTCTGCGCTGTAATGTATGTACCGTACAGTACAGTACATGAGTAGAGAGATGAAATGGCACTATGTAAGCAAAGGTATCAAGTCCTAAATATTTTAAAAGGGACTGAAGATAGCAAGTGGTTGTTGAAAGAAGCAAGTACAGGCTCGTACAGGGTGTGGGGCGGAGGGGGAAATAATAGGTGGGGCATGAGCATTTGTGGCGAGTATAAAATATAGATAGCTACTTCCTCGCTACCTGCAAATTCTGCAAGTACTTGTAGTAGAGTTTTAAATCCTACTACTATTTTCACAAAACAGGAAAAACTAACTATATGTAAGGCTAGAAATATCTGTTAAAAAGCCGGTAGAAACGTGGGGTCGTGGGAAAAGAAAAAAGAGTGCTGTACCGGCATGTATGTTCCTACATACAGGAGGTAGAGTAGCGAGCTGGTTGGGGTTCACCATTGGAACGACGACAACTCTTCTCCCTCCGCGGCTACGGCATCCTTTGTTTTGGCTGCATATCATGAGGCGACAGACAGCAGCTCCATGGCGGCATCAAAGCAGAACATCTGTTCGTGGTAGCTAGCTACATATCAGAGACAGCTCAGAGCTCCTACCTACACAGCAGCAGCACAGCTAAGGTCCGCACCGCCTTGCAAAACTGCTACCTACTGTCTGTGCTTTTTTTTGTTCTATCTCTGGCTCTGCTGCTTTGCTGAGCTCTGACAGGTCCAATTTAGAAAATGTCACACATTTCACACTGCTGCTGAGCAAGCTGCGAGTGTGCTCTGCATAAGGCGCACGTTAGTTATGTCTCGAGCTGCTGTCTGTCTGGCCTATCTTCTGAGTTCTCGAGCTCGTGTATCTATCTTTTGGCCCCACCCCCGGGGAACCAGAACCACTCGTTTACAAAACCTAATCCTCACGGGAACCGAGAGTGCAATTAATTCCACAATGCCAGGGGGTTGATGGTACAGTCGTGTTAAAAAAGTCCTGGCAATCAGCACCACACGAAATATTAAAATCCTTCCCATTCAACAACCATTAAGTGAATTAGATTAAAACAAGATAATTATGCATCACAGACACCCAGAATACAGTTATTCTTACAATTGAAAGTCAAAAGCAGCGAATGGAAGACCTTCAACTGATGTCCTGACACATCCCACCACACCTATATCCAGAGTATTCTCGGTTCACTTTGTCGAGTATCAAACTTGCCCTTTCCCGGGCCCTACCTAGATCTGTCCGATTCGAAGCAGTCGACAGTCAACTAACACCCCTTCGATCGGAGTTGTCCACAAGGTGCCGGCACCAAATGAGCTTGAATACGTAAAGGGGTTTAACTCTAGTACCGGCAGCACAGAACGAATCATGGATCCGGGATGAGAGTCAATATGTTGATTTATTAGGAAACCCTCTCGGTTTTTTCTTTTTGTTCGAGAAGTAATCATTTAAGGCCTAAGGGGTAAGAATGTTTAGAGTAGGAAACGACAAAAAAAAGCAAGCAAAAGATTAGGCAGCCTCTCCCGGTAACAATTGATCAAAGAACCAGATATAGCCAATTCCTTCGATGTCTACAAGCTTCATAGGTACGAGAGTCTCATTTCAAGGTCCCAAAAGGTGCGGCTTTGGATCCCGGTAACAGCTTAGCTACCTTACTTGAGATAAGAGATCTACCTTCCACACGAGTCGCCTTTCAGTTGTTAGATTGTTTACCGGTAACTAAACAACCGTTTTTTTTTTGGGGGGGGGGCTCTTCCCTACTAATTCTGTTTGGGATGGGAACGCGCCGCTGTGCAGCGGAACGGAAAAGCCACGCCCAAGAAAAGAAAGGGCCCTGATTTTTCCGGTGGCTTGGTTCGGAGCCCTGCCTTATCATTACGATGTTTTCGATTTTTTGTTACTTTGGCATATGCCCGAGAAGGTACATACGGGTTAGTGTATGAAAGGATAGCCTTGTTAGTCGTATCGTATTCCGCTTTTGGGGCGGATGCGGTGCGCGTTTCGCTCGACTTCCAACGCTGTCAATTAATTGCTTTTGACAATTTCTTTTCCTGTGGTGTTTTGTTTGATGCAGGAGACACAATATTTCACGGAAGGTGAAGCTGAGTACCGAAAAGGCTGAGTACCGAAAAGGCGTACCTACAGCTAACTAAGAGGCCCATGATAGGTTTTTTGCTCCAATTACTTTTATTTTCATTTCACATACAATTTGTTGGTAGAGTAACAAGTGTATTGGATACATGTTCCGCACAAACTTTTTTCCCAACCGCATAAAACAATATGTCGATAACGTCTTCACGTTTGAGGATAGCGGCAGGAGATCCGTTTGCATGTGTTGTGCGTGAATATTTGTTCGTGATCGTCGTCGTGGGCAGCAGCAGCTCCCCTCGAAGGCCGGTCCGGACAACTGTGTGTCAAAGGGGTTTCGTTGGACACACTACATATCAATCAGTACTCAAGACAAGAAGGGTTTGGGACCGGCTGATAACAAAGCAGGAAGGCAAGATTTTCGGCCAAAAAAGATTGTAGTTTCCGCTGCTCCGTGCAGCAGCAGCAGTGAGAGATGCTGCTGTCGCTGCTGCAATTGTCAGTCCGTTCCAACTCCTTGGACACGAGCGGGGGAGGTCAACAGGATGGATGCTCCGTTCTTTAAATCGGAGAATTCAGTCGGAATCGGAGTTGCAGGCCAGAGGTGCACGAAACTGGGTGGCGGGTAATCTGCATCGAATTGGGCAAGCAGGCAATGCAAGAGAATGCAGTCTTTTGTTTGGATAGGTGACCTGCGGGGCTTGGATGCAGTGTCACGTCATTGTCGCAGGGACCTGAAGGGATGGGCTTTACAGGGATTTGCAGGTCCGTACTCTAGAGTACCTCGAATTGGTATCTTTTGGGGATTGGTGGGTGTGTGGAGGGGGGGGTTGGAGGGGGAGAGAGATGGTGTGAAGCCTTTTTTTAAATGCAGTGCAGGAGAGAGTTGCAGGAGATGGTGGTGGGTTGCTGTGGGCCTGTTCTGCTGCAATCTATTTGGAGGGGATAGAATTGTAGGGGCGGTAGAGGTTGAGTGGGTGTGAAGAGTTAGAGTTGGTGGTTGTGTACCTATGTGGTGGTGGTTGGAGTATCACTGTGCCAAAAGATCTAATCTGATCTAAGGGACCACCCACTGGGTCCGTAATGAGTAAAGGTTAGGTTTGGTGGTGGACCTCTCGCCGCACTAACACGGGGATGATCGAGTGACGCCTACCCACCCACGCCCGCCCCGAATCTCTCCACCCCCATTCCCTTCTATCCACTCAGTCATTTTCGAGCCCTCCACCTTATTCCACCACCCACTCGAACACCCCCCCCCCTTGTCTGCCCTGTGGACATCGTCTTGGCCTCTTGCTCTTCAGTATCCGAGTCCGCGCTTTGCAATAGAGTAACACGTACCAGCCATAGTAACATTTACTCACTCATTTGCACCACTCAGAGAACACTACTCCATAGTCAGATTTTTTGTCCTTATCTTGTGCTCGCGCCCCCTCGCTTTCTACCTTCTACCTCCCCTCAACAGTCAGCCATCCAGTCCTCTTGCTTATCTTCCGCTGCCTGCCCGCCGACCTTAGCCCTGAATCTTTTGTTTTAACATCACCTCACCACCCTCTTTCGATTCCTTCTCATCCTCGCGATCTGAGCATCAACCAGTCCACTTCAAGCCTACAATACATCAACCCCCATACCAAATATGCTTCTTCCTCCTACTGAACGCCGCGAGTCGGGAGCTATCATCCCTTCCGCATCACAAACACAAACGAATGCACAGCCTTCCATCCCCAGGCCCGTTCGTGTCCCTGATGGAACCCTTAGACTTAGAGGAGGTCCTGTCGAAGATCGCCGTGTTAGATGGGGTGCCGATGTCATTGACAACGAAGGATTAGGAAGAAAGAAGTCTAAAGGTTTGTTACTAAATTTCCTCGATTCGTGGTCGTTTGAACTTCAAACCTTAGCAAGCGAACATCAATTAACATGTGATTTTCCTCTCCAATAGTATGCTGCATCTACCATCGCCCAAGAGCCTACGATGAGTCCTCAAGCGATGATAGCGATTCCTCATCCGACGATGACAGCGACGCTAGCGATCACCGACACGGAAAAGACTGCGGACACGGTTCGATGAGGAATTCCCGCTCAAAGGGGAAGGGAAAGCCCAGCAAGAGAGGACCAAGCCCAAATGCCTACGAAAAGATGCCCAAGACAAAGAAGAAGGCGTAAATGACTGGTTCATCGGCTTGTAGATTGGGTATTGGGTCTTTAACATAGAGAGGGAAAAACAGGGTTCGGCCTGAGGTGTTTATTTGTTAACTTGTGGTTTCTTTTTCTTCTTCTTTTCTTCTTCTCGAGAGGCGTAAAGTTTTATGGATATTGCTTGCAGTTCCTCTTCAATTCTTCTGGTCTCTATATTATTTTTTAGTCTTTTTTGTTTCATTTATTTCTGGAGAACAATGGAAAGAAAAAAAAAGCTGGCTGGTTGGGTCACAGTTGGCATCTGGGTTATTTTTCTTCATTTCTTCTTCTTCTTCTCCTGGGCCATGTGGAGTTTCACGGAACACAATTCTTGTAGCTGCGAGCTTCTATATCCTCATTATCATAATGAAACTACACATTTAGGTATTTAAGTCTCTGGAATTTACATGGGGTGGGGGGGATTCTCTGATGGAAAAAAAACAACTTTTTTCTTGGTAATAATTGCTTCTTGTACCTTGCCAAGTGTGCGCTGCTAGCACAGGGTCGAAGTTAACGGCTTCCATGGTCCGTGCGTCTGCATGTAAATGCGGCTCAATGCCGTGACAACGTTGCAGTCAACGTAGACAACAATTATTATACTTATACAGTCACGTCACCAGCTCATAACTATTGAAATCTGACCTTCTTGCCATTCTTCTCATCACTCCACGTCAAAAAAATGGCCTCCGCTGACCGTTCCACTGAAACTGAGGAATACCTTCCTAGTCTCTACCGTCCTTCAACAGTTCTCCCTATATCTCGACACCGAAATGCTCTTCTGTACCTCATCGAAAATCATCCAGTGACCATCGTAGTAGGCCAAACCGGGTCAGGAAAAACCACACAGCTACCCCAATATCTAAACGAAGCGGGATGGACACGAGATGACAAGATTATCGCGTGTACGCAACCCAGGAGAGTTGCAGCCACCACAGTCGCAACAAGGGTGGCCGAAGAAATGGGTGTGAGGCTGGGTGAAGAGGTTTTGTGAGCCCCTGTCCATTATTATACCTTACCTCAGCTACGGATAATAATAAATCCCATTATTGTTGGGGCAGCCTGTGCTGCTCGAATATAAAAACAAAATTTATTTTGGATTTTTTTTCTCCCTTGTCCTTAGCTACATAGCTATAGCTATCAATAGCGACATGTGTTATTTTACTAGGCTGACGGTTTTTGCGGGGTTTCCGCGAAATAATATTACTTTTAGGTGGGTTACTCCATACGTTTTGAAGACATGACATCCCCGCGTACACGGATAAAATACATGACGGATGGAATGCTGCTCCGAGAAGCGCTGGTGGATCCTTTGCTATCCAGGTATTCTGTTGTCATGATCGACGAGGCGCATGAGCGCAGCTTAAGCACGGATATATTGCTTGGGATATTGAAAAAAATTCGGAGGAAGCGAGAAGAGCTAAGGATTGTGATTAGTTCCGCTACTCTCCAAGCGGAGGAATTTGTCAAATTTTTCGAGGGTGACGAGCCGCCTGACCAGGGCAAGGGCAAGGGCAAAGGGAAAGAGGTGGACAAGAAGGAATTGGCAAAAATCATCTCGCTGGAGGGAAGATGCTATCCGGTGGATGTACTCTATTTAGAGGAGCCTACGGAAAATTACGTAGAAAAGGCTATGCAAACAGTTTTTGATATACATCTCAAGGTAAGTTTTTCGTTTGGGATATTTTTTCCCTCCAATTTTTCCAAATCTTCAATCGCTGCAGTTCTAGGATGGGGAAAGAATCGGCTCTTCCTTCAATCAATGATTTCTGATATATCTGAGACATGCAGGAAGGCGAGGGCGACATCCTACTCTTTCTCACAGGCCGGGATGAGATCGAAAATACTGTTTCTGCGATCCGTTCGCGTTCCCAAGATCTCCACCCCCGGGCCCCACAGATTTTACCCCTACCCTTGTATGCAGGTCTACCGCAGGACGCCCAACTTGCCGTTTTTGAGCCTGCACCTGAAAACCACCGTAAGGTGATAGTATCTACCAACATTGCGGAAGCATCAGTCACAATCGAAAAAATTTGCTTTGTTATTGATTGCGGGTTTGTCAAGCTGCGAGCTTTTAACCCGCATACGGGGATCGAGTCATTAACTGTAGTCCCGATTTCAAAGGCCTCTGCTACACAGCGGGCGGGAAGAGCAGGGAGGACAAGGGCGGGAAAGTGTTTTAGATTATACACTGAGAGTGCGTTTCAAGAGGAGATGGCTGATATGGGCGTACCAGAGATCCAGAGGAGCAATCTAGCCCCAATAATCTTGCAGCTAAAAGCACTTGGGATTGATAACGTTGCTCGTTTTGCTTTTATCACGCCACCACCAAGTGAGTTAATGGTGAGGGGCTTGGAGCTGTTGTACAGTCTTGGGGCCTTGGATGAATATGCAAGACTTACGAAACCACTGGGTCTGAGGATGGCAGAAATGCCGTTGGAGCCCATGACAGCAAAGATTGTGAGCTGAACTTTCTCAAGTCTTACCTAATCCTGGAGGGCACAAAAAGTAGGTACTAACCCCAGCAATAGCTACTCAATTCTGCGGAATTTGGGTGCAGTGAGCAGATTCTTAGTATTGCTGCAATGACGAGCGTTCAAAACGTCTTTATCAGCCATGAAGGCGAAAAGAAGCCCGCTGAATCGGCCAAGCGACGCTTTGCGGTTGAAGAGGGAGATCACCTGACTTTACTGAACGTCTACCAAGCATTTACAACTAAAGGTGGCCAGAAATCATCGTGGTGCAGAGACCATTACCTGAATTTCAAGTCACTATCTAGGGCCGTATCGATACGCGCACAGCTGAAAAAATACTTGGAAAGATTCACTGTGGATGTGGAGAGGGAGAGATCCCGGTCACAAACGGCTACTGGTGAAAGTATCAGGAGATGTCTCACTACAGGTTATTTCGCCCACGCCGCTAGAATGCAGCCAGATGGGAGCTTTAGAAATATCAGTGGTGATACGGTGCTCTGGGCGCATCCTAGTAGCGTCATGTTTAATCGGAAGGCAGATTGGGTGATATTCCATGAGGTTGTGGAAACTGGAAATAAGACTTTTATCAGAGATGTATGGCAAGCTTCCAATATCACTTCCCCCCACTACCACCCGATCCTGCAAACTAGGTATGTTTTATTTCAACATGCACTAACCATCCGATTTCATCGGGATTTTAGGTTACGTCTGTACAGAAAGACTGGTTGCTGGAGTACGCGCCAGAGTTTTACCAAGTGCGCAAGTAGATAAATACATCTGGGTGGTGATCGTAGCTTAGTGTTGCATGTGTAAAATACCAAAAAGATCTAGTTAGGTGCGGGAATTGCCGAAAACAAACATTTCCAGGGGTGAGGTTGCTGGGGCCTTGGCAAAACACCTTTGCGGGTACGACGTTGTTCTCAGCACTTAGTAGCCACATGTAGTAACTGAATACAACTCCAACGTCGCAGTAAATGTTCCATCATTTGTCCTCAGAGCTTTACCAGGCCATGGCTCACAATACCAATGGTCAAGGTAATAGAAGCAGCACAATACTTCTTCTCACTATCTTTGTTATTCTAGCGGCTGTACAGTACCCATTCGTGTTCTCGTGGCTACAAAAGATCTCAGGTCAACGAGCTCCCTCAGACCCAATGAGCTCTAGCTACCAGCCCGGACTATTCAATATGGCTTCAGCCCATAAGCCACAGACAATCAAGTTTTCAGACGGATCGAGCCGACAACGAGCTCGACAGCGGATATTGAGGCAATTGACAAAGACCAAGGGCTGGGAGCGCGATACAAGTCACCCCAGGCGGAGGGTACTAAGTGCACTTGTGGGGTTCCTAGAATACAGAGAGAAGATGGAAGAAGCCGTTCGAAGGAAGAGAGATGGGTGGAACAAGTTGACTGTTAGACAGAAGGAGGTTTGTTGCAGCTTTTTTTCCACCACTTTTTTTTCGTTTTTATATCGTGTCGTCATCTTCATAGTGGGCTTTCGAGCCCATCGTGTTTGTTTAACCACACTTCTCGCCTGTCAGATTTACATCAAATGTAGATCATAGCTGGTTCTGTCTTTGAAATCTGCATCAATTAACCCGGAGCGCAAATTCAGACATGACGTACTAGGGAGAAACCGAGATTGTGGAAAGGCACTATCGAGATTATTTTCTGAAAATCCTATTTTATCTTTTTTTATGTTCCTGGGCTAATATGCGTATCGTTGATCCTATCAGCTTATGTCTACAGTGCCCTACAGTGAAAAGCTGGAAAAGACATCCGCTCTCATTCGCGAGAACGACATCCTGGTGCAGAAAATCGTCGATCATGGGCTTTCATACTACGATCTGACACTTACCGAGCTATTGTCCTTCAGATCTGCGCACAAGAACGACACCAGGTCTGTGGCGGACCATAGTTCAGTGATACAGTCTTTGAAGCACTTTATCCGCGACTGGTCCGCCGCGGGGAGCCATGAGAGAGATGCGACCTTCCCGCAAATCCTCACTACCCTGGAATCACTCTATCCTGACCCTGTAGGACGAGAGCAAAAGAAAGTCCTTGTTCCTGGCGCGGGGTTGGGGAGGTTATCGTACGAGATTGCTGCCATGGGGTTCCAAACTGTTGCGAATGAATACAGCTTCTATCAGAACCTGGCACACCTTTGGATACTTTCCCTCCCTAACACAACACAAAGGGAGTCATTCAAGTTGTACCCATTCATCAACTGGTGGTCACACCAGCGTACAACCACCTCGCTGCTTCGCGGTGTCGCGTTCCCGGACACGGAGCTGTCGGCTTTGGCACTTGAGAAACTCTGCCTGATCGACGGTGATTTCACGACTGCATTTTATGCGGAGGCCAGTAGTTATGACGTTGTCGTGACACTGTTTTTCATCGATACGGCGCGTAACATTGTTGATTACCTAGACAAGATACACGCCGCTTTGAAACCCGGGGGAGTGTGGATCAACCTCGGACCGCTACTATACGGGACGGGCCCGTGGTTAGAGCCGT